AACAAAATCTGTTTTAGTGTTTAAGGACATGTACCAGATGTAAAGTTTCTTTGGTGATAAAATACATGTAACATTCTTGATATTTCATCTCTGTCGCTGGGAGTGACGTTTTATTTGTTATATAAAAAGATATGGTATGATGAAATATAAATAGCTGGAATTTATATTCCGTTTTATATCTTTAATATATCATGTTTTCATCTCTTAAAACTTTCTTCTTCTTAAGGATCTTTCCAGTTTTTGTACCCCGTATAATATCCTAAATAAAGGTTGAAGTTGTACAGTGTTGTGGTTTTACCTACATGCCTGAACCATTAATGTGATGATCTTCTCTCTTTCCAACACATTGTAGGCTAATTTAGATTGTGTGTATTTTTTCGTGTGCAAAAATATAAGAATTGTAGGTTAGGGTTAGTTTCGTGTGAGTTGTTCTCTTCTTCTGTGTTAACTTAACATAAATGTTGTCATGTCGAAAGTGATGTTATGACTCCTCAGCATATCCCCTACTGCAATACACTTCAGGTGAATTATGCAACACAGAACAAATATCGCTTAAATTTGTAATTGTGGTTTTTGTCTATTAAGAGCACTTTCCTTACTTTGATCATGGTTTGTAACCATTTTCCATGATAGATGAAATGTATGAGAAAAAAAGACTTAAGATAGGATACTTTGAATGTGCAGAATTAAGTTGATCCATAAAAGGGCAATTTCTGAGTACGTTGGATCTTGAAGTACACAGCAAATAAAAAAACGTTTCAAAGAAAAACGAATACTACCTAAAGGAACATTGTTGTAACATGTACTTATTCACTGCTGAAGTTGAAGAAAGATGTAGTCATGAAAGATCTATTTGATAAAGTATTACATGCAATAAGTTGACCTCATACACAATTAAATGTTCATACTTAAGAATTTGCACAATTAAAAAGCTATTAATTTTGTAGAGCAGAGAAAGAGTAGGTAATACACACAAATTTGTACACAGTATTGTATATGTGGAGAAAAATCTTGGATGCTGTATAGCGTTGCATGTGTCTACCAAATAATCATCAACTTTAAAAAAGACCTATTTGTAACTTATTTTTGTAACCTATTTTTGAGGTAAAATTGAAGGAATTGTTTGTTTTAACCTTGATTGAAGTGGAATAAGCCTTGCTATTTAATGCTTTTCGTTGTGTTCATCTTATTGCTGATTACTCAAGTCCCGTTTTTCATGTGTTCATTCTACATCCATCAATTTGCTCAGGATGAAATATTAATTTTTTCTGTCCAAATCGACCAATCATCGTCTTGTTTTTATCCTTGGAAACCGAAGTAGGTCAATGTATATAACTGGCTTTTATATACGATATATATATATACATATATATATAAATGTACTACTATTAACAATTAGACAAAACATTATCATTAGATCATGTATGTATTTATTATCACTACTGTAATTGTACATATTACATGATTGTGTATAATATTCTTAACAATTGTTATGTTTATAATTATTCCACTGTTTCTTATTAGATTTTAATTCAAATTCCGATATTGTAAGCTTAATGTAAAGAAATTGTTGATATTTCAATAGAAATTAAAAAATAGGACTCAATAGTGTTCTTGTTTTATTCATTTCTCTTTTGTGTCTCACATGTCAGCTTTGACAATGTAGATTTATCTTCTACTGTTGATTGTAGTGGAAAATGGGATGAGTCATGAAGAAGGGCAACAGTTAACAAGTTTTGAGGTCTGTCATGTTTGTAGAGGTCAAGGACACTACTATTGTTAGAATTAATAGATTCTACATGTGTATAAGAAAAACAGGAAAATATTGACAAGTCAACAAAATCTTAATTCAGGTCTACACAGAGACCCTTTGAAAATGTACAAGGAGAATATGACTAGGTGTTCTCTGTAAGTGAAGTGAAAATGTAAGCGTATTCTGCTTCATTGACAACACCCATCACGAAAATCAAAATTTAATTAACAGGTGTCGCATTCCTAAACGAAAACAGACATTCGAATAAGCATGAAACACATCTTACATCATATCACCCATAGAAATGGGATGTTTCCTGAAGAGATCGTACATATTCTTCTGTCTTCATTAATGTGCGTCTCTCAGAAACCTGTGTTGTATGGTGATCAACAGTAGATTTCTGTCTTGATATTGAAAATGTGTCCTAGTATACCGTGTAATTGATTCCATGGTGACAGGTTTGGGAAACTGGTAGTTACATGTTGCTAGAAATAGGAAATTCACAACAAACATGTATATACAGCTTAGTGGTTAATGCAAGGCGGTCCCAGTAGGTTTTGTCGAAGCAATTTTTTGATGTAGACAAGTACATGGAAGTCGTGTCTTCATCAAATTCTATTGACTATATCAGATAGACAAGGTAAGTAAATCACAACCGTTTACAGCGAAATTTGAAGGATTCTTACAAGTCTCTTCAAGAGCAGCATCAATCCAGTGAATCGAAGAAATGTAGGTAGAGGCTTGCATTGCAAAACTCTGATGGCTTCAATTTACAAAAATATATATTTAAGACACTATTCAAATTTACTAACAGAATAAAAAAAACGAAACCTTTATTTCGGCTTCAAATTTTATTGTGCATTATCATTTCATTACTTAACAGCAAGATAGAAACCTATAAAAAGCTTGAACTTGCCTTTTGATAAATATCTGAACATTTTTCTTATATCAAAATGCATGTAACATGAGTTTGAATAAATAAGCTGCAACCTAGGATTATTTACAAAATTTACAATGTTTTCAAAATGCTGAATAATAGTACTGTTCAATAATTGCTTATATCTACACTATGAACACTAGCATAAAGTCAGTTAACACTAACATTAGGGAGCTAAACAATAAAGTGACATACTTGTACATCAATCCATTCATTCCTGACAGTAGGACTATTCCAGTAAAACATCTGTCATCCCTACAGACTTCAAGTCTCATTTAAAGGTACCATTTGTATAGTTTAATTGTTGATTTGCTTAGAAGTAAATGGCAGGAAACATAACCATGGATACATGTGATTTAGCTAGGAGTCTTGGAGTAAAGACAACATCTTACTGGAATAGTCCTTCATCTATAGCTGAAGTAATCCTTCTATAAAAATTGAACAACCAGCAAGTGTAAATTAATCCTAGTATTTCCCTGTATAACATGTTGGTAAGTAATTCTATATGAGGATTTTGTCAGTGAAAGGATTTCATAGTGTTTTTTATTCTACAACCATTTACTATGACAGCTCAAAGGTTAAAATATGTTTCCTTCTTATCAAATAAAATTGGCTAAGGCAGCATGGTGGACATATACAGAAGTCATACAGAACTGATGATATTATAGAAAAGTTCAAACAAAAAAGGAACAATTTATCAAAAACACTTTTTACATATACTTTTGAATGTCATACTGTATACTAACTTTCTTTCATGGCTTTGTCCTTTCACAGCCTCTGTACCACAACAAGTTTGCATCCATTAACTTTTCCATAAGGTTATTACTGTTTATTGTCAGTTTTACTTTGTGGGAATTAAGTGACAGGAATTTGTTTGATCAAAGAAAAAATATATTGTAAATATAAAACAGTATACAATAATGTTAGATGATCTGAGGAAAAAATCTTTTTGGAAAATATTCAGATGTGATTATAAAGTACATGTACAGTTGAAACTTGTCTCGAAATCTCTTGAGTCAAAATTCCATTTGAGTCAAAATAATTGTCAAGTCACTTTTTTTTTTTTCCTTTCTGTATCTTTATAAATTTGTTTGGATGACTTGAATTTTAATCGAGTAGAAATTTCGTTCGAGTCCAAGCGATTTTTCAGTCCTTCAATTTTAAAGCAAGGAAAAAGTAATTTGTTTTCTCAAAATTAATTTTTATCAAAACATCAGCACGTCTTCTGATGAAATCAGTTAATACATACACAGAATAGAAAGTCCCCGGTGCGTAACACATGGCTAATTACCGCATATCGGTCCATCATACATACAACAATATGTAGGTTAAAGGATAGTTATCAAGTGTCATGAAACAGAAATTGTGACACTGAATATAGTAAGCCAGTGTCAAAACAATCATCCTATACTGATAATTCTTAGTTATTTCCAGTGGGAAATAACCAACACTATGCTCAAAAATACAATTTGCTATGAAAATTACAGTAAAAAAAATATTCCACCTAAGGAAGAAATGTGTGACTCATTCTGGTAATTAAAGCACCTTAAGATGCTTCCAATCATGAAGAGTATTTGATTCTACCATATCTGGGTTTCAGGAAAAGATTTTTGAAATTTAAGTCAATTTGACTCCTTTTGCCCCCTCATCAGCCCCTAGGGCCAGTCAGGATCCAAATGGGAATACCATAAAGCTGTCATCCTTCACTCAAAATTCTAACCAAGTTTGAAATTATTCCAATGGAAATTAAACAAATAATGCTAAAAAATCTAGTTTTACTATATAAACTAAAGTAAACTTTACCCCCTTCCCATAGGGAAATGTGAGACCCTTGGGCCATGAAATTCACAAATTTTGGTAAAGCACCTGAAGATGCTTCCATTCATGAAAAGTATTTGATTCCACCATATCTGTGTCTTCAGAAATTTTTTTAAATCCCAGTCAACTTGAGCACTTTTGGCCCCACCCCTCAGGCCCCTGGGGGTGGGGACTGTATAATTCAAAAATTTTGGTTCATATTAGGCCAGAGAAGGTTTCTGCAAAATTTTATTGAAAACGGATCAAGGGTTTTTGAGAAGAAGTGGAAAGTGTTAAATTGTTTGCGGACGCATGACGCTGTATGAAGGGTATTAGAATAGGTCTCCATGAGACTTTGTCTCAAGTGAATTAACAAGCACCTTAAAATCATGAAGTAAAAATTATTTTTTATAACAGCATTAAGGCAATTCTCAGATAGGAAATAAGATGATAAAGTGAATTTTGTATTCAAAATTCTCTAGCACTAATTACTATATAAAAATTTGTATGAAAAACTGAGACAAAACAATAACAATTGTCACTTTGCGTATTAATTATTTCTATAACAAATAAGAGGAAATAAAGGTTTCAGACTACAATGATTACACATGGAATGAAAGACAAATTGCAGAAACAATGATGAGTGAAGAAATATGTCAAATTACTTTCAGTGATTTGTTCTTCCACTGATAATGTCAATAATACATGTACAAAAATTCTGAAGGCAAGTCACAGAAGCATTCTGGAAAGAAGTTACAGATGATGATGATCATGATGATGATGATGATGACAATGATGATGATAAAGCACCACTGGAGAAAGAGTACAGTCTGCCCAGGATGACGATGACAGTAAGGATGAAAAGATGACACAAATGCTAGCAACGTCTGTCCACAATCACATTGCCGTCCCGGTCTTTCACACGTATCCTGCCGTTAGAGTATCGGGTTTCCTGCCGTCCGTCTGGATACACTGTCTTTACTGTTCCATCAGGATATTCACGTCTCTGTCAAAAAAGTTCAAATTTCAATTATCAATCCAAAGTAAACAAGATAACTGAAATTGAGGTAAAATATAAATTTCACATGAAAAATTTAAAAAGAAACATTTTCTGGAAATGTATGGGGGTTGTGCAATCACAAACATACCCTTTCAAAGCAATCAATGCAGTGAGGATTCATTTATTGTAATCTTTAAATCTTTCAATAATGTACAGGTTCAGATCTACGGCATAGCTCAAGACTGGTCAGGATTTAGTTTAGACACTCAGTCATACCAACATGTATCCACCTACGATGTTGACGCTAAACTGGAGACATTGTCTAGTTTGCTGTTTGCTGGGTTTAATGCAAATAAAAAGTCAGGGTCATTTTATGACAGGGATTTCCTTGTAATTTGCTGGTGGCTATCTTACTGAACAACATATGAAAGGTTCGTCACATCTCATTCAGAGTGATAGGTGCAAAGTGTCTTACCCAAGAACACAATAGCACTGACTGGTTCATTTCTCAACTTCCTGAGAAACACACACTACCAGGAATAAAAAGCATTGAACCATGCACCTTGGACCTTCACCTGAGGTTACGCAGCTCATCACTCAACCAAATGAACTATCACAGCTACTATAAGATATGGTCCAGACAAAGAAATAAAAGGAACGGGTAAAACCAACTATAACAAGCTTTTAAGACAACAACGTAAACAACAAACAACAAACAGCAAACAGGCTGAAGTATGTCTTCCTTCTTACACTGGGGAGTCATATTTATACCCAGACAGCAACCTAAATCTCAACATAAAACAGCATTTCATGGTTATCTAAAGACTACACTAAAGACTTGTACTAATACCTCTATCTGCTGGAATAGTTCGTAATCAGCTCTAGAGATCAGACCATGTGATATACAGACAGATATATACCTTATAATCCTGAGTGTGTATCTCTCTTTGTCTGTTTGGAAATTCCATGGTTTTATCACCATTCTTGTCTACACGGATCACTGTTCCATCCGGAAAAATACTTTCCTCTGACCCGTTTTGAAACAAGTACTTGATCGTCTGATCGGGGAAAATGATTTCTGTAGTCTTGTCTGGGTAGTGCTTCTCCACTTGGTTGCTATGGATACGAAGATCAGTAAGATTATAACAAGATTTTTCATAAGATCAGGCATTCCAACGGATGTTCAATTAAGCTTGTTTCCTAGATTTAAGGCTGTGAACTGAGGGTTAAATAGATTCAAGACTTCTTTGGAATCAATCTCTTCTGTTTAGGGATTTAAAAAGTTCATTTCAACATTTACAGTAACATGAGCATATGGAAGAAAGAAAATAACTTATTGTTTCTATGAACTAGTGAACTATGTTAAGATTTTTAACTCAAACAGAAAATTATTGGTTTTTATGAACAAGGATGACATTTCCTTGGGAATAGAGTTTACAAGTAAACACTTACTTTGGGAACTGGAGTATTTCTAAGCCGTCCGGGTATGTAGAGTGTGTTGTCTGAGCCTCACAATAGTAGTACACCTAGTGACATCGTTTACATTAGATATTTTTTACAATTTAACAAAACAAATTGCTTTCCATCTCTAAAATATATCTTGATCGTAAAATCAAATGTAAACAAAATAAAGTTCTCCTGCTTTGATAAATGTTTGGAAATCATTTCATACGTAACATACAACATCAGCCATACAATACTTAAACACTAAATGTTTGTTAAGAAATAAATAAAGTTATTTTGTATTCATATTCTTACAAATTCACAATAGGTTTCCATACTATGAATACAAAAAAATGCAAGAGATTTTTTTCCTTTCAGAAGATGAAAAAAATATCATGATTTCATTTTTTGTTTAAAGTCAGTTTTCTTTCTAATGATACAAAATCAGAAGCAGGGACTTGAACTCACAATTCGCTGGTCCGGCATAATCTGTTTGATGTCACCATTGAAGAAGGAGACTATGATTGTCTGTCCATCAGCTGAGATCTCCTTCCGAGTGCCATTAGAAAACAGAATCTCCCTGGCGCCCGTTCTGTACACTCGCTCCACCTAAAATAGATTCATGATGTAAACATTACTCCTGGTGTGTTACTTTATCACTTTACAGTTAATAACAGTGTTGTGTAGTGAAATTATTTACTTTTATTATCATGTATTACTTAATATACTACAAATTATCATTCTGTATTACTTTATATACTACAAATTATCATTCTGTATTACTTAATATACTACAAATTATCATTCTGTATTACTTTATATACTACAAATTATCATTCTGTATTACTTAATATACTACAAATTATCATTCTGTATTACTTAATATACTACAAATTATCATTCTGTATTACTTAATATACTACTATCATTCTGTATTACTTAATATACTACAAATTATCATTCTGTATTACTTTATATACTACAAATTATCATTCTGTATTACTTAATATACTACAAATTATCATTCTGTATTACTTAATATACTACAAATTATCATTCTGTATTACTTAATATACTACAAATTATCATTCTGTATTACTTAATATACTACAAATTATCATTCTGTATTACTTAATATACTTATCAAATTATATACATTATCTGTATTACTTATATACTACAAATTATCATTCTGTATTACTTAATATACTACAAATTATCATTCTGTAACTTATATACTACAAATTATCATTCTGTATTACTTAATATACATATTACAATATACTATTATCATTCTGTATTACTTAATATACTACAAATTATCATATACTTAATATACTACAAATTATCATTCTGTATTACTTAATATACTACAAATTATCATTCTGTATTACTTAATATACTACAAATTATCAGTTCTGTATTACTTAATATACTACAAATTATCATTCTGTATTACTTTATATACTACAAATTATCATTCTGTATTACTTAATATACTACAAATTATCATTCTGTATTACTTAATAAACTATCATTCTGTATTACTTAATATATACAAATTATCATTCTGTATTACTTAATATACTACAAATTATCATTCTGTATTACTTAATATACTTCCAATTATCATTCTGTATTACTATCATTCTGTATTACTTAATATACTACAAATTATCATTCTGTATTACTTTATATACTACAAATTATCATTCTGTATTACTTAATATACTGTATTACTTTATATACTACAAATTATCATTCTGTATTACTTATATACTACAAATTATCATTCTGTATTACTTAATATACTACAAATTATCATTCCGTATTACTTCATATACTACAAATTATAATTCTGTATTACTTAATATACTACAAATTATCATTCTGTATTACTCATTCATGATCCTATATATTATATACATCAACAGTCGGTAGTAAATTGATAGTATAAACTTCAGCACTAAAGTGTTTTCTGAATGTAGTTATATTCAATATAAGTATTACAAATCACATGAAATCAGTTAGGCTAGGGTTTAATGGAAGATTTGCCAGAAGGACACCTAGCAATTATAAACATAATCATATTTACAAAATACTCTATTTATTGCATCAACTCACTTATATCTGGTGTATATATATATATCAGGTTTGTGTTTATATTGAGAATAAAAACTCATGTTACATCAAGTAATACAAACAGGCAGAAAGAGCATTGTGACGTCACAATGTTTCATAATTGCATTTAATTTGTCATCATGTAAATAAAGTCATTGAATTTTTGTTTTTTGCTTTCTTATATAAAATAATTCAGAACATAATCAATAATACCACGAACAATGACATGCTGAATCAAGCCATTGATAAGGCTGTAATCGTATTAAAATTAATTAGCTACATCAAATACAAATTAATATTCATGTATATGAAATATCATTATCTATCATCATTTTCATGTTCAATAAATAAGTATGTTTTTAATGATTGACTCACTTTTCCATCTGTATGCTGTAGTTCATCATATCGACTGTCACCCTTGTCAATGGCTGACTTATCAATGTTAAATTTTGTAGCTGTCTTTCTAGGCATGATGCTACCAAATCGGGAATCTTCAGTATCAGTATACATACTGGTGCTGCATATTCAAAAAGAAGTTTCATTTCACAAATTTAAATTTTAACTAACAAATAACACATGTATGAAGTGTATGAAGACAAAATAGACACAATTTTTACTTGACATAATACAGAATGAAATTCAACCTAAAATTTGTAAAAATTGTGAATTAGTAGCAGTACAGAATAACTAGGAGATTTAGTGGTTTGCTACCATTAATATGTTAGAGAGTTGTCTTCCCTACTTACTCCTGTGGTATCGCCGCTGTTGACAGTACTTGGCGGGGCACATCCTCGGTCAGTGATGTCCGTAACATGTTTGTCTTGTCCTGATGATTGCTTTCCTTGGTAGAGGAAGATGACCACGAGTTGGCTGAAGACTTAGACTGACCACTTATCTGACCTGTGTGTTTCTGCTGACCACCACTAGCACCTGAAATAACTGCATGGTTTTTGGACTGAGCTGTAGAAGATGCCTGACTAGTCTGGACATTAGCTGTCTGCTGGGAGTGACTACTTCCTGTGGACGATACCTGTCCACTTTTTCCTGGAGGTTTGGAGAGATTATTAAGCCCTGCTGTTGCCCCTAGGTGGGTTTGCTGGTGTCTGATCCCCTGTGTCCCCGTGGAAATAGAGGGTGGAGGGGCTCGGACGTTAACCTGAGGCTGGAACTGTGATGGACGGAGATTCATCTGTCCTGACATTGCATGAGGAACAGTGGACGGAGGGAATGATGATCGACTGCTGGACTGATCTGTGAAGGAATAGACTGATTAATAATCAAATAAATAAAATATAGTTACAAAGTATTTAATAGAATACAAACTGAATTAAAATGCATTCATACAAAAAATCACATTTCTTCAATGAGTCATATTTCATATATAATACCATTAAAACACAATAGAATCTTAAAATCAGATGTGTCATAATTAAATATTCATGCAAAGAAAAAATATCATAAACTCCTCAAGGACTATCAGTTATGATCCTACTGAATATCAAAATGTGCAAATATGATATACAACATCAAAATGTGTAAATATGATATACAACATCAAAATGTGCAAATATGATATACAACATCAAAATGTGTAAATATGATATACAACATCAAAATGAGCAAATATGATATACAACATCAAAATGTGCAAATATGATATACAATATCAAAATGTGCAAATATGATATACAACATCAAAATGTGCAAATATGATATACAACATCAAAATGTACAAATATGATATACAACATCAAAATGTGTAAATATGATATACAACATCAAAATGTGCAAATATGATATACAACAAAATGTGCAAATATGATATACAACATCAAAATGTGCAAATATGATATACAACATCAAAATGTGTAAATATGATATACAACATCAAAATGTGTAAATATGATATACAACATCAAAATGTGCAAATATGATATACAACATCAAAATGTGTAAATATGATATACAACATCAAAATGTGCAAATATGATATACAACATCAAAATGTGCAAATATGATATACAACATCAAAATGTGCAAATATGATATACAACATCAAAATGTGCAAATATGATATACAACATCAAAATGTGTAAATATGATATACAACATCAAAATTTGCAAATATGATATACAACATCAAAATGTGTAAATATGATATACAACATCAAAATGTGCAAATATGATATACAACATCAAAATGTACAAATATGATATACAACATCAAAATGTGCAAATATGATATACAACATCAAAATGTGTAAATATGATATACAACATCAAAATGTGCAAATATGATATACAACATCAAAATGTGCAAATATGATATACAACCCCGACCATACTTCTTACCTCGAACTGGATCCTTTTCTTCCTCTGAGTCTGTGTTCTGGAAGTCTGCAGAACTCGTGATTGGATTGCGGAAATTTGTGGAGTCACGGGACATCTGAATATTATCCTTTCCAGTTGATGAGTTTCCCTACAAGAACAAAGAAAACATTTCAACTGAAACCATTGAAATGATAAAGGAGCAGAATAACATCTTTTGTTATAATTTTTCTTCCATGTTACAAAACCATTCAGTTTTTTCATGAAGTACAGGAAACTTGCTACAATGGAGAATTTCAAGGCATCCACATCAGGATGAAAAAGCATTTGATTTTACCATAACTAACATTGGTGCATAAATATTACTTTCCTAATGAGATGGCAAGTTTTTTTTTCAACAGACATTCCTGTAATTTTATGTTGTGACAAAAACTTAAATACCCACTTTTGTGTACATTTGTGTATAATACGAGGTGGTTTTTTGGAAAAAAATTCTCAAAAAGAAGTCATTCCACAGGGAAAACCCAGTATTAACATGACTTAATCAAATCACGTAACTACTGATAAGAAAGAAAAAAAATGCTAATTTCACAAGGTGTACTAAGAAAAAAATAATTTCCAGGTAGATGACAGAAGAGCTGACCATGACAGAACTGTCAAAGATAGTGTAAAAATCAAGACCATGTATGTACCAGAAAAACCTATCAGTACTTGATTCTTTTCAATATCAGTGATCATCATATAAAATGTGAAGAATACCCTTCAAAAAGATGACTTAGTTGCAATTTATACTAGAAAAATATCTAGCATATTACAACAGATAATGCTGAAGTCTACAAACTGATCAAAGTTATCTTCATGCCTCATCCCGAATGAGTCTAATCAAGGGAGGAAAGTAAGATATCTAATTTTCGACCGTTTCATCTCCAACAAGTCACCTGCCCTAGACGCAAAAATAGAAGAAGACTCAACATATTTTTGCATGAACGATGTAACTGCTATTGTTTAAAATGATCTAGTAAATTTTTTCTACATATTATGCATGTATGATATTAATGATTTACAACTCAATAAGCATTATTTCAATCAAGCAATTATGCAGCAAACCTACATCCGCATAATATATTAAACTATATATACTTTGCTTTGCCAGATATCTGAAACAACATTTTTAGTGTTTATTCAAAATAGACCTTTATTTATCGACTATATAATTCAGTGATAAAATTCTACAACAGAAATGTTGCTTAGGTCTACGTGAATATTTGCAGTGGTCTGGATATTCACTTTTGCTAATTTATGATGTTCTGTAATTGAGATGGAACTCAAACACATTAAACATGAAAAAATGTTTTTCATTGCTCTGATGGCATTGTACACTAATTGTCTTTTTGAAGGGACGCCAACAGCCTATATGGACATAAGTCAAAGCATCAAGATCTATGAATATGCTTTGTTTGTGTGTAAAGTGTGCATCACATGTTTTGAAAAACAACCCCCCCTCCCCCACCTCCTACCCCAAAAAAGTGCATATTATATGCACATATTTATGGTAATATCATTTCCTGTTATTGAAATAAGAATGTTTCCTTTATTCAATGTGATAAATATTTTGTATTTAATGGGTTAACCTTAATATCATCAGCTTTTATGTAATAAATCAGGATCTATGTTTATATTCTTCCTCCAAACAGAATCCCTTCTCTCTTGACTTTAGATATAATAGCTTCCTGTCTTACTAACAAATATTCCTGTCTCTTTCACTGACACTACACACAGGAGTTGAAGCCAAAATAAAGAAATTTTTGAAGATTACTTTTCCAGTTTGTTCTCGCTGTAGCCATTCTAAACGTTTTTTCTCCATCAGTTTGATTTCTTCCTTCAGCTCCCCATTCTCCTGTTCTAGTTGGTCAATTTTACTTCGTAAACGTGATGTGCTGTTGGTCCAACGTGTGTCTTTTCTTTTCATTTCTTCTTGAAGTTCCTGAAGCTGTTTACAACAGAACATACAAGGTGACCAGATTATTTGTATGTTACTGGAGTAGGAAGAAAACAATGACACAGACACATTTAAAGCATGGAACAAAAGTGATTAGTTCAGCAAAGAATCAACAAGAGAGGAAAACACACAGGAATACTAAAGGAAATGATCGCTAGTAACAAGTTTACTGATATCACAAGATTACCTGTTTCTTCAGCATCTCTATTTCCTCTCGTTCTTTCTTGTCTGGTATTGCCCTTGATGCTTTCTGGTACTTCTCAAACATTTTCTTCTCATGCCTGTTGAACAAGAAATATTAAGAATAGATCAAATCTACCGAGTTTCAAGTTTACAACCAAGATGGCTGTCTTTGAGTCATCTTGTTTATTAAATCACCATGACAAAGATAACTTCTTGAAGAAAAGCAAAACATTCATTGTCAAAATCCAAGATGGTTGTCTGTCAGCCTTATTGTTAAGACCTTTATCTTTCAATACTTACCATAGGAGGTAAATAGGAAATCGCTGATTAATTTTTAATCATTTAATTCAGAGATCCTATTAACCAAACTTTCATTTTGCTGGCTAAGAGACAGAACTATCAGAACCACATGTACTTACCTTAGTTTCTTCATTTCTTCTTTTTTGTATTCTTGTATTCGCTGGAGTTCAGCATTCTTTTCTTTCTCAAAGTCTCCTATTTCCTTCTTTAACTTTGTCAACCCCTATAAATAAAATGTTTTCACAAAACTACAATGATGTCAAACCTGTCTCTATATATAAGATAGAGCACCATTTTTGTGAAATTTTCTCCAAATAGAATGTCAGAATATGAAATCATTGAAGAAAAGAATTTTTCATTAAATCTTCTGAGACAGCAAAACTTTACTTTTTTGTATGATAATGCTATTTTCACAGTAAAAAAGATGTTCAGAAATTTCCATAAATATCACCAGGCAACATAATTCTAAAAACAGTGATTGGATAGCATGGAACTGCCTATGATCAATACATATATCTGATCATACCAATCTCATCTATGATTTTCAGATATAGATATATATGTACATTTTTTGTAAGTTTTCAGTAACCAAAAATCGGCTCAGTGGTAACTCAGTTTCAGACTACAGTGAAACATTCAGTGCCTTCATCCAGAATAAAGGGAAGGATATAAGACTCATGGAAACAATGGGAATCCTTGTCAAATCAAAGTGTACAAAGTTACTCTGCTCATGATTGATTCCAACATTAATGTATTTCGAGTTAGAGCTAGTATACTGTAAGTTACATATTTCATGTGAAGGGTTGTATTGTGTTTATTCAGCTTTATTCGTGAATTCAAATCCCTCGCTAATAATCTTTCAATGATGTTTTCCTAAAACAAATGAACTTTGAAATGTGATATGTGTGAAATCATGTATTTGCAAATAAGACAGTCACTTACCTTGTCTAAAATTAAATAACATAAAGCGATTTATAGTATATTGAATTAAAATTTCATGTCTCATGCTTGATGAAATACCTTATACACAGTGCTTTTACTTGAGGAATGGTCAAGGCTGACCTTTGACCTTAACCGTGACTCATGACCACCAAAATCTAATCAGGCATAGACCTGAATGAGGTGGTTTTGTGGCAAAAATGTATCCATGAGATATCTTGTTCACCAGTTTATTAAGGATGCAGGTAAGCACAGACCTATGTACTAATGCACAGACAAACTGATGACTACATATCACCTTCACTAGAGGGAGGTATTTACATTTTGGTACAATTTTATATTTTGAATATCTAATTATTTTTATTTATTACTCTCAAATTTCAATTGTTAAGGTTCAATTTTACATACCTCTTCTCTCTCCTTTCTTAATTTCTCTAAGTTTGCATTTTCGCTTCTGAACTTCTCAATCTCTTTTTCTAGTTCAGAGAGTTTCTCTCGGAGTAACTTGGACTGGACACCATCCGAGGATGAGGCAGAATTGTTTGTGGACAATTTCTGCTCCTTATATAAAAAATGATCAACATGATTAATAATTTTTGGCATCCTTAAGACACATTGTCAACTACAAATATATTTTTAGGAATAAATTTTGTTTCTGAAAATTATGTTAAACATTGAATGTCCAAAGGTTTTTTTCTACCTGGTTTAATGGATTTATTTGCAGGATTTTGACAGAATTTATCACTGGGAGATATTGGAGAATCAGAAACTTTTGTCATCAAAATACAAAATACATGGCTACCATAATTAACAACACTCAAAAGTATGAAATCACTAATGATATAGTTATAAAATGTACCAATGTCTGTTTAAAAACATGATTGCAGAGAACTGGTTTCATTAAAACACAATGCAGAGAACTGGTTTCATTAAAACGTCTAACTGCAGATCCCGAGAGATGTATACCTGTAGTTGCTGTAGTTTGGACGGCTGTGGTTTCAGTTTTGGGAACAGTCGAGTCATGAGCTGAGAAGTAGGAGGAGTTCCATCACTGCCTGCAGCACCTGCCATACCTGGTAATGTGTAAATATGTTGTAATTTAAGAAACAAAGTAGACTCCATTTTCAGAGCTTTGCAGAGTCTGAATCTTCACTATATATATCTTAGTTTATAAAAAGTGTGATTCCCTGCACCATTATATATCTGCTTAATGGAATAGCTTTTCTCAATCTGATTTATACCTGAAACGAATCCAAAATGCTTAAGTTCTGATTTATTTTTATCAAAACTGAAATTATATGTGTGCATCTTCCAAATTATTTTGAATATTTATTAATGAAGACATAACATATAACATTGGTCTTGTATTAACTATCTATAGTTTCTAAACTATTTGACAAAGTAAAATGACAGATTCTGAAAATATAGAAAACAGAAAAAATATTAATTGAATGAGCATCAGTCCATTTTTATATGTGAAAATTAATTATCAAAAGTATTTAAAAGCTGGAAGTCAATCACAGTCACTTCAAATCCACCAAAATTCCTTATTTTTTATTCTGAATGTGGACCAAAGTTGTCAAAATTCCAACTGATTAAACTTTAGCATACCTGTTTTTGTCTTGTCCTGCTCCAAATTCTTGCGAGGCGACTTTGATTTCAATGTAGTCTCTCCCCACTCCTCATCATCATCAAAATCAGTATCCAGTTCACTTTCAGGTTTTTCCTCCTCCTTTCTTTGTCTAACACTTTCTCCCTGTGAAAAACTCCCTGAATTTTGCTTTGTTTCCACAAATGACTGAAACTGTGACCTTGAACTCTTTGCACTAATTTTCAAAGCCGAGTATGAAGTATCACTATCATTTCCAGAATTTTCATCTCCATCTTTTGATGATAAGTCTGATGAAATTCTGGGACTAGAAAATTTACCATGAATTTGGAAATCATTATCAGTGTCTTCTTCATCTTCGATTTTTGTCACTTTTTCTTTTACTTGCGGTAGAGAATTAGAACTATAAGCACCATGTGATGGAGGTAAAACATCTCGTGAGATTACAATTGGGGATTTAGCTTGTGGCACGTATGAGCTTGAGTTAAAACTAAGATTAAAATTATCTGTGTTTTGTTGTCCATAATTAGCCGACACATATCCCTGTTGTGTGGCCATTGTTCCCTGTGAAAACTGTGATTGAGAAGAAACAGCACCAGGATTTAGTTTCTGTAATAGACTTGACACAGTATTCAGTGTAGATCGGTCTTCCTTTGATGCAACTTTTCTTGTCATTATTTTGGACGGAGATCGTGGAAAAAACGTTTCTGAGTCCGCATCAGAATTATTATCATTCTGACCATGTAGTATGAAATTGTCATTTTCTGCCTGAGCAGAACTGGCAAAATTATCCCTTTTCTTCTGTACCTCACTTTCGATCACTTCATCTGACTCACTTGATGAACTTTCTCCATCTTCATCTGAACTTTCTTCTTCGTTATTGTTTTCATTGTCCTCAGTTTCAGTTTCATCACTATCTGTATCGCTCCAGGATTCGTCATCTTCCTCAATTCTTGGAGAAAGTTTAGGTTTTGTTTCTTGTTGAGGTGGTAACATTTTCCTCATTTGGGTTGGCACTCTGGACTCATTTTGTCTATATAATGACAGACAAATACAAATTAATATTTTTGCGCAATGAATTTTCAAATGTTTTTCCGTTTCCCATTGAAAATATGATTTGAGCAGGACAGGCATTAATATCATATATTGATATATCAAGTATGTTAACACAGGTAACAATAATACATTTTCCAAATATCAATGGAAGACTACATAAAGAGAACATTAACCTCAGTTAAACTTTCGTCTGTTTCACTCTTTCACAAATACAGCAACAATAAAGAGTGGGCTGAAGTTTGATTATAATAGCAAAAATGTATGTTTCTTAACCCTTTCGGCACTGTAGGCGACTAATGTCGACATGTAGACAGGCCGCCATAGGCGACTTTGGTCCACAAAGTTAATATCTTTATTATTCTGCCGTTGTTTTCGGATATTTTCCGGAAAATATTTGCCGCTGAGCTGTACATTGTAAGTGATAATTGGCGCCAAAAGGGTTAATCATTAATTTTACAGGGAACATGAAAACAGGCCCAAAGTTTGTTCTTTCCAACACAGTATTTTTTATACCTGATGATAATTATACACACCCTGACAGTGTAGTTTATACCTGATGATAATTATACACACCCTGACAGTGTAGTTTATACCTGATGATAATTATACACACCCTGATAGTGTAGTTTATACCTGATGATAATTATACACACCCTGTCAGTGTAGTTTATACCTGATGATAATTATACACACCCTGACAGTGTAGTTTATACCTGATGATAATTATACACACCCTGATAGTGTAGTTTATACCTGATGATAATTATACACACCCTGATAGTGTAGTCTGTGGATCCTTTTTAATGGTGGCTTCAAGTTGTTTAGCTACTGATTGTCGGGGAGACTGAAAAAAAAATTACAGATACAAAGTAAATTAGAAAAAAGTTGATGTTTCTTCTAAAAAGTAACAACTACATAGTTAGGATGCTGTTCAATATTTGTTTTCATTCTGCATACAAATTTTGTTGCAAAATTGATTTGAAATATTCAAAGCTTACATCACCAGATAAGGATAAGAGACAAACTTTCCACATTGAGAGGAGCTTACCTGCTGTTTTTTGCTAACAGGCTGTTGAAATTGTCGAAGGCGATCACGCTGCATTACCTTGACAACCACTGAAGAGTTACTACAGAAAGAGGCGTTGTCTGCGAAATTCTCTAACATTTCAAATTCATCTAAGTCTTCTTGTTCAAACTGAAAATGGTATAAAGGAAGAAGTTTTTAGTTTTTATAGTGTATAATACTCAGATAATCTGGCAATATTTAATGTATCATCAAAAATCATGAATAGTTGCAGTCACTACAGCACAATACCATATCGAATATCAAAAAGCACGAAAAGAAGTCGCAAAGGGAGGCAATTTCCCCCCGCACCCAGCTGTTGGTGGAAATATGATATTTATATAATGGTATAACGATCTGTGACACCACTCAATTATGTACCACTAGTACTGCTACTATCACCTGAAGATCTAATACAGTAAAAGTGCTAGTACAAAATGCAACTTCTTTGGTCAACTATCAATCAAATTTCTTTGCATCGCCTAATTGAACACTTATATGCATACATATCTTATATCAACCTTATAGTAAGAGTTTATGTTGATGTAGATCCTGTGTGTTTGACTATTGATATTGGAATAGAGCTTGGTATTGTCCAGGAACAAATTTATACAAAACTCTAAGCTCTGGAGTAATACAAGGAGTCAAGAAATTGAAAAAACTTTGATGGTAACAGAAAAAAGATAAATAATCAAATGTCCTCAATATGAAAAGGCACAAAGGGCACTAATATAATATATACAGCAAGTTTTGTGGAGTTAAGTGGAATGGTTTCTCTAAGCTGTATCCCGGAAAGGAAAGTTAACACTTATTTTGTATGAAGTATCTCAGACTGCATGAGAAAATATCTCAGAGTATGCGATAAAATATGTTAGAAGTTCTTATAATACTGGAAAATGTTTCTCATATATAGTATATAGCACAACATAGATATATTAGTAAAGACAATTATATAGTAAAATTTAAGTACATAGTACAAGACAAGGTAAAGTTATCCTAATACCCCATCAAGTATATCATAGTACTGATATCATAGTACCCTCAAACTGATATCATAGTACCCTCAAACTGATATCATAGTACCCTCAAACTGATATCATAGTACCCTCAAACTGATATCATAGTACCCTCAAAGTGATAGATGATGTCAAAGATTTTGTCAGAAAGAGCATAATGACCCATAAAGATGTTTGCAACCTACCTCAGCATTTATTTCTCGTTCTTTCAACTTTTCAACAAAAGAGGTGTCATCTGGAATAGAATCAGGTGTTCTTGATGCCCTTGAGGGTATGCGTGACTTGATATCCTCAATTTCCAACTGACGACTACTTGGTAAGATTTGCTTGTTCTGAATAGGGTCATGCTGACCTTGGCCTTGATGATTTCCTTGAGAACGACTTTCAGCCATCTTTTGACTTTCTCCTGTTAAGTTTGTATCACTAACTTGTTTGTCAACCTGTTTCTGATTGGTAAATCCAGTTTTAGGTCTTATCGATGACTGGTTGGTATTTTTAGAAAGTTGATTCCTAGGAGATGTCTTCAGAACAAGTTTTGCTTGTGGTTGCTACAAATAGAGAATCAAAACTAAGGAAATCTCTGTTAGTGAAGTGATGGCAAGTGCTCTTACATCTAAATCATTTTTTTGCTACATATTCTTAATAACAGTGAAATAGTTCACAATACACCCAAAATCTTTTAATACTATTATCCTACATATCTGGACAAAACAATGATTAGATTTTAAAATAATGATAATGTTGTACTTCTGGATATGTATAAAGTTTGGTGACTGTGCAAACTGTAGTATCAGTAAAGTATAAATGTGAAATATTTTCAAGTAGTTGTACAAATAAATGGTGTACAGAATGACCAACACAAAATATCATTAATGAGATTGGGCCGTAATTACTCCATTCACAGCTATAGATTGAATATCATTAATCCCTCTGGTATGTTCTCCATACATTTTATCCACTCATTCTCAAATTCAGCAAGTTTACCTTTGTTTTACCACGTGGAGACTTCACGGTGGGTTTACTAATTGACTGAGTTGAAGTTTTACTACTGGCTTTAGATGATGGCCCAGTTTTGTTCTCATGACCAGCAGAGGTGACATCCTTTTTACATCCTCCTTGTTTTTCTTTGATTAGACCAAACCTTGCCAGACCCTGTCCTCTCTTTAGGAAAGGTCGTCTTGGACTCTGTGTAGATTCCTCTTCCTCCTTAACTCGCAACTATTGAAGAACAAGAATATACAATCTTTATGAGAAATAGCATTTTACAGTGTACAGAGCCTCAACCTTTGGGGTAAGATTATTAAGTTGTCTAACACTCAGCAAGTCTGGGTTTGCTAACTTAAGCTTCTTTCCCCTTCGGTTGAGATCCTCATATCTCAACAAGAAGAGAAAATATTGTGATTAACCAATTATATGAGAAACATATTTCAAATGAAATTTGGTCAGATGATCATTTGTGTACCAGCTCGTGTTTAATGAAGTGAACTTATTTCTATAATCAGTTACACATATCTTCCATTATATGAATTAAATGGAAACCCTATCAAGAGGGTTCAACTCGAATTTTTTTCATAAAACAAGATGTATGAAACACAATGCCCCTAGCTGCATCAAAATTATAATCACAGGGTCAAAAGTTTTGTCACCAAAAAAGGTCTTGTCACATGGAACACACATGCTAAATATAAAAGCCATAATACTTCTTATGAGGCCGATGTAAAATGTTTTCAAATGTAGGTCAGAGGTCACCATCAAGGTCACATTTTCAAAAAATTTTGGTATCATCTGAAAGGCCTTGTCCATAGGAACACACATGCCATATATGAAAGCCCTACCTCTTACTGGTGCGAAAATTATGGGCAAGATTCAAATTGACAACAGACAAACAAACAGCACAAAAATAATATGCCCTTGATCTTTAGGTCCAGTGGCAACAAAATGCTTAAACTTCTGACAAATGTAGAAAGTCTGGTTATTTCAAGTTAAGATAATTAATATAAAAAGATAACCACCCCACCCACATACTGCCTTACCAAGGTGAACCCATACAGTTCCCTACCCACACACTGCCTTACCAAGATGAACCCATACACTCCCCTACCCACACACTGCCTTACCAAGGTGAACCCATACACTCCCCCACCCACACACTGCCTTACCAAGGTGAACCCATACAGTCCCCTACCCACACACTGCCTTACCAAGGTGAACCCATACACTCCCCTACCCACACACTGCCTTACCAAGGTGAACCCATACAGTCCCCTACCCACACACTGCCTTACCAAGGTGAACCCATACAGTCCCCTACCCACACACTGCCTTACCAAGGTGAACCCATACACTCCCCCACCCACACACTGCCTTACCAAGGTGAACCCATACAGTTCCCTACCCACACACTGCCTTACCAAGATGAACCCATACACTCCCCCACCCACACACTGCCTTACCAAGGTGAACCCATACACTCCCCCACCCACACACTGCCTTACCAAGGTGAACCCATACAGTCCCCTACCCACACACTGCCTTACCAAGGTGAACCCATACAGTCCCCTACCCACACACTGCCTTACCAAGGTGAACCCATACAGTCCCCTACCCACACACTGCCTTACCAAGGTGAACCCATACACACCCCTACCCACACTGCCTTACCAAGGTGAACCCATACACTCCCCAACCCACACACTGCCTTACCAAGGTGAACCCATACAGTACCCAACCCACACACTGCCTTACCAAGGTGAACCCATACACACACTGCCTTACCCTACCCACACACACTGCCTTACCAAGATGAACCCATACACTCCCCTACCCACACACTGCCTTACCAAGGTGAACCCATACACTCCCCCACCCACACACTGCCTTACCAATGTGAACCCATACACTCCCCTACCCACACACTGCCTTACCAAGGTGAACCCATACAGTCCCCTACCCACACACTGCCTTACCAAGGTGAACCCATACAGTTCCCTACCCACACACTGCCTTACCAAGATGAACCCATACACTCCCCTACCCACACACTGCCTTACCAAGGTGAACCCATACACTCCCCCACCCACACACTGCCTTACCAATGTGAACCCATACACTCCCCTACCCACACACTGCCTTACCAAGGTGAACCCATACAGTCCCCTACCCACACACTGCCTTACCAAGGTGAACCCATACAGTTCCCTACCCACACACTGCCTTACCAAGGTGAACCCATACAGTCCCCTACCCACACACTGCCTTACCAAGGTGAACCCATACAGTCTCCATCAAAGTTTAAAGCACTGTCCAGAGTGACCTACTTTGAAACATGACATACCACTTCACCAAGGTAAAGCCATGCCCCAAGTATGAAGTTCCAGTTACAAGTAGTGTAGGAGACAAAGTGAAAAAAAAGCAGAATGGACTGAATGGACAGAGGAACATACTCATTCTTTATGAGGAAATTATCTTATAAGTTGACAAAGGATAACAAAATCATATTTACCCTTTTCTCTTCATCTCTGAGTTGTTCTTCCAACAATTGTTCAAATGTTTTCTTCCCTGGAAAAACAAGAAAATAAGATAAAACAAGATAAAATGGCTGAACTAAGTATAAATAATACCAATGATTAAAGGTTTCTACTGTCATTTCAGAAATATGTATTTCTGTCTGTATTAACAAGCAAAGTTAATTAAAATTCTAATACTGACAAGATTAACATTCAAATAAAAGTAAAACAGGTTATTTTTTTTTTAACAAACATGTATATACAATATGGGGGAGTCTTACCTGCACTGTTTTGTTAGAATGGTGATTTCTAACCAAAGTACAAAATATACTAGAAGTGCCTCCCCCATACCCAGCCAAAAATAACTTTATATAATATACAATATGGGGGAGTCTAACCTGCACTGCTTTGTTAGAATGGTGATTTCTAACCAAAGTACAAAATATACTAGAAGTGCCTCCCCCATACCCAGCCAAAAATAACTTTATATAATATACAATATGGGGGAGTCTAACCTGCCCTGCTTTGTTAGAATGGTGATTTCTAACCAAAGTACAAAATATACTAGAAGTGCCTCCCCCATCCCCAGCCAAAAATAACTTTCCAAATTAATTATACATTAAAACCTGTCACATGAGACTTTTCAAGGGAGGCAGCCAATAAGGTCATATATCACAGGTGGTCCTTTAATACAGGTTCATTATAACAAAAATAAAAAACCTATTCAAATTAAATTCATTTATAATGATAAATATTTCCTATATAAATGAAGTCAAAAAATGTTTATTATGATATAGTCCAACATGAAATATTGGTAATGCTCTAAATAAAATTATTAAGCTATAACCTCAAGTGTCTGTATACCGAACTTAGCTGTTCCTTATGACACTCATCATCCATCACTTACCAATCCATCAATGGGTATAAACCTAGAGATAAAGTAAACTAACAGTGCCAGTCGTAGCTAACCAAAAACTTGACAGCTAGAACTTATTACATAGTTAACACTCATAATAAGGCCCAAACAATTACAATAGGAGAAAAAAGATAATTGTACCTTATTCTACACTGTCTAGAGGCTTTTTTCAAAAGTCATTTCTAACAATTTGTTACAGCATCTGTCATAATTTTGTGAATTTTCCCTAATTCCGAAAGAAGCTTTGGTTTATTGGATTAAACCTCTCTCCTATTCAGCAAATGGTGTGTTTTAATAACCATGCAACCCCCACTGTAGTGCCATAAATCCAGTCTGACAACTTGAGTTCTGGCCACACCAGCATGGTTCCAAAAATAGTCATTTGTTCATGCTATATGATAGAGAGGAACTAATTAACAGTTTATAAAATTAAGTTGGATAAGTACATTATTTTATTTGTAAATAAATAGTTTAGGTAGCACAACATCAGGGATATGTAATTGTTGCATGATTGTCTACGTGTTTAACATGGCAAAATGATACAAACATTTATTGGAGCCAGGTTACTTTCAGGAAGTCCTTTTTGATGTTTGGGACACAAAGATTACAGTGGCCGGTTGTACCAATTAAGTGGTCATTTAATTCAGGTCATGTATATAGTAAATTACATTGGGAGGAAAAATTACTGTCACATATTAAAGATAGTTGCTTTATTCGGGTGGTTGTTAAGGCAGGTTTCACTGTAATTAATATCTAATGTTAACATCATAGCTATGTTGTTGTCATGTTCACATATTAATGTATTGTGACACACTGAGTGAAGATTTTGTAAATTCTTCCATTCTCAAAATTCACTCAATTACAGATTTTTTTACAGCCATTCATTAGAAAAATATGCATGAAATAAACATGTTGATTGCTTACCTGCCACACCAGGCCTGATTGGTCTCTCATCTGGCTGCATTGCTTCATCCTGTACAAGTATTCAGCTGATTAGTAAAGAACCATCAGTATGATACATTCTAAAATGAACTTACATAGAGAGATTTTTAATGTAATACATCTACGAAGTTTCTATGTCAACATCATGTAACATAGATTCTGAAATCTCTATGCCACCATTATGTAACAAATCTCCTTCAGTCTTGATGTCAATGTTATGCAGCATATTTTCTTAAGTCTCTATAGGAATATTATGTAATATACAGCTCCTTACATCTCCATGTCAGCTTAACATGACAAACATTCTTAAGTGTCTATGTCAATGTAACATTAGTCTCTTTGTTCTGTGTCATTGCTAGGTTACATACCTCCTTATTTCTCAATGTCACATTCAGTAACATACCTCCTTAATTCTAAATATCACATTTCTAAGTTATGATGTCACATTATGTAACTTACTTCCTTAAGTTTTGACGTAACATTATGTAACTTACTTCCTTAAGTTTTGACGTAACATTATGTAACTTACTTCCTTCAGTTTTGATGTCACATTATGTAACTTACTTCCTTAAGTTTTGATGTCACATTATGTAACTTACTTCCTTCAGTTTTGACGTCACATTATGTAACTTACTTCCTTCAGTTTTGACGTAACATTATGTAACTTACTTCCTTCAGTTTTGATGTCACATTATGTAACTTACTTCCTTAAGTTTTGATGTCACATTATGTTTACTTAACATACCTTCTTAAGTCTCAATGTCACATTTGTTACATACATACAAAGAATGAATCAAACAGATTTATCATATTAAAACACATTACATTGTATGCTCTTTCTAGAGTTTCTTCATTCTCATTTTCCTCCGATTCATCCTCATCATCATCATCTAACGGATGTTGTTCCAATTCATCAATGCCACCATCTCTTTCATTTCCTGCTACACGTCCATCAAAATGATCATAATCTATTTGTACTGGACATTTTGATGGATGGTCAGGTGAACTGGGTGACCGTAAGGTTCCAATGCCTTCATCCATCTCTAAATCATGGCTACACGTTGCTGCAGACATTTTATTTTTGTCTAATTTCCCCTGGAAATCATAAAGGAAGAACTACAATAAAATGGCAGATTACATGATAACACATATTTGAAAGGATTAATATCATAGATGAACTCTGCATATCAAATCAAAGAAATAACAAATAAAAACATACATGTATATCTAATCAAGAATGGATTGGCAATTTTAAAATGTGTCTTAAAGAAACTCATCAACAGGTAGCAATTATTGAAATTCCTGAAATCTCATCCTTCGAAAAAAGATTATAAAACTCATGTTTCAAAAATAAGGAAAATCTTCATATTATAACCTCTGGGCTTTTTTCCACTCGTTTAGGAAAGCCCCTTTTTATTTCATTTTCAGAAGAAAATTGATCAGATTGATCAGTTGGGAATTTAGCCATATTATGAAATATATTCTATTGGGACTGGGGCCTATATTTAGCCCCACAAAACCCCCTGAAAAGTGCTGAAATAAGAAACTGAAAGCATTGGCTTAACAAATCATTGGTTTACCTGATTTCTGCCTGGTTTAGTTGGAGCCATGTGACCCTGAGATGGCATTGACTGGTACACCTGCGAGGGTGCTAAAGTCTTTCCATGGTTTCCACGTCGATGAGAGGCTTGATTTACCATCACATTGTTCTGTTCTCCGACCTCTGACACCGATTCCAGGTTAGTGAACTCATCTGTCATTGCCTGACTTCCTGTCGCTGAATTGGTGTCACTGAACAAGTCTGGATTTGTTTTTACTTCATCATTTTCCTCATCAAGATTCACATACATCACTGGACAAGGTAGCACACCACCAGCTTGCTATTGTTGGCAAAAAATAAAATACATCTACATAAAGTCTAGGTTTTATATCACAGGAATGAGAAAATAAAGTGTACTATCACTTCTGGAAATGGGAATTATTTGATAAAGCTTACACTTAAAAATTAAGTTGAAAACCAAATATTATCTAAAAACAGAGGAGAGTCTGTGACCTCAGCTTCCCAAGAAATTAAAACTACCTTAGGTAGTGGTTGAACCACACACCTCAGATCTTAATCCCAAGTTGCATAGCTCAGATCCTCTACTGCCTAAACTATCCTCAAAAATGTCTTCTAAGGTTTATACAGAGATATATGATACAGTACACAAAGCAATGTACCATCTCTAAATGTAGGATCTCCATATCTATAAAACACCTCCCTTTGATTTGTGTCAGGTATAAGCCAACTAAGGGTGAGTTGGTAAAATACACTTGTACTTGAGATTGAATTCTCTTCCTTTTGTCTGCACAGGAAGTATTCCTACCTTAACTCACACTTAAGATATTTTTCAGGTAAATTTTGACTAAAATGACTTTTAACAAAGATCAACTGAATGAGTAACTAACTGTGGATGTCACAATATGCCATAGATATATAATACAACAGAGGGAATGAAGCTCTAGATGTATCACAATATACAGTACTATAATGGTCATTAAAAATCTTGAAATAATGCTTGATTTCTTGAAAATATGTTTATAATACACTGTCAAACAGAACACTGATAATGTTGATTTCAAATTTCTTCCAATATTCATCAATTACAAAATTTCGTTGCAATGCTTTCACTGGTTACAGTCAGGTGCATGTTGTTTTATCTTTTAGACTCAGTAATAAATTGCAAACTGGAAATATCAACCAAAAAATAATGCAAGTATCCAAGGATGTGTTGCAGTGCCAGTGATATTATATTGCTGGATTTGGATATGATACAATATTTCTGTTCATACAATAGTATTTCAATATTTCTGAAAGATTTTGACAGCTATATTACTAACCTCAGGCCTAGTATGTGGTACAGACTGTAGGTTAGGGGGCCGCTGCATGCTGCCATTTTGCATCATGGGTGGGAACCCTGGTCCCTGCCCTCGTTGCCTGATGGGTGGAGTCTTAGTGGGTGACATGGGATTATTTGTCTGTCCGTTCTGTTTCCCTTTCAAAAGATAAAATGGATGAATTTGAGCTTAGTCTTACATCAATTTTCTGTACTTATGTTTGCATTTACTTTAACTTAGTGGTCTAATGTTAGAAAACCTCTGAGGAGCCAAATTCAAGGAAATAAACAGTAAAATGTCTTTATCGTATACCCCATTGGGAGTCTCGTTGTTTTGCAATCAGTGCCTGTGTTCGCTCCTGTTCTGACTTCAACGCATTCAACTGCATTTGCTGTTGTTTCATTAGCATGTCTTGCTGCTGTAACTGCCAAGAACGCAGCTCTTTGAAACGCTGCAATAGTCGAGCCTGTTCCATGGTCTGTTGCTGTTCAAGGATTTCCATAGTTGCATCTGAGCAAAACAATTTTTTTTTAAATTGGTAAGTTCTCTTAATCTAACTCAAACAGCATATATGGTAACTATAAATTCAATAACAATAAGTGTTGCTGTGATTGGCTAAGATTTATATTATTGTAAAATCTACCATATATTTTCTTGAGGCTTTGATTAGGAGGATTTTCAATAGAATACTTTTTTCTGTTTCATGATTTCACTCTCTAACATCAATACATTAATATTTCTAGATAAAATACAATTAGCTAAATTCATCAAAGAACATAAAATATCTATTATTAAGCAAGTTCTAGCATAATATAAAAATATGGATTTGTGTACCTTTCACAGGTTTTTTCTCTGTTTGTGAACTCATCATTCCCATCATCATTGCATTTTGTGCAAACATTGGGTTTCGCATGGCTGCCTCGAAATTGAAAGCTTGATTGAACATTTCCATTGGCAAGTTAGCAGCCATTACAGGTAGACTGGCCATTCCATTAGGTGTTGTGATGTCTCCATTTGCATGCATGTCTGTCATCCCTGTATGCCCAACCCCTGCTTCCTGCTTAGTGGCCTGTCCCTGGTATGGCCCCACCCTTGACCCCATTGATTGATTGAGGTCAATGTTGGGCCTGCCCCCTCCAGAGTTTCCAGCAGGCCATGCAGGATTAGGAGGAGGGTAATATTCATCCATTCTTGAAAACTGAGTTACATTGAGTCTACATTGTGAAAAACAACTTCATCATACATTGAGTCTTCATTGTGAGAAACAACCTCATCAGTGCTGGAATATTATCTGAAAAAAGAAAAGACAACATTTACTGGAAAAGAATACAAAATTTGAAGGATAATTAATAGCAATAGGTATTATAAACAAGAAGACTATTTGCTCTTACTTTCAAACATTTAAATCATTAGGAAATGAAACTGAGCTAAAGCTCTGAAGTTATCACTTACTGACCCCAAGTCTTACAGCTTGTGATTACAAGTTCATCATATTCAAATAAATTATAATATCAATAGAAACATATCGGGATTAAATCAGTTTTAACAACTGTAAATAAGAAATCAATATACATGGTATAAGGACAGAATGGTAAGAGGACGACACATTTTATAACTGAATGGAAGTATTGTATATCACTCAATATATTTTACTACACTGATTTTCATTTCATCTCACAACCAGAGTTGAATGATGCCAACCAAACATCTATCTGTTAAAACAATATCTTTCTAATGTTTGGTAGGTGTAATATGTCTACTTCTGTTGAGTGCTTCCACCCTATAATTATCACAATTACCCAATGCTTTCACAATACAAACTTTGCAACTAATTCTGTGTTATATTAAGTGATCAATGAAGTAAAAATAATGACAGTATTGACAAGTGAATTGTCAAATCTTTAGACAATAAGCCACTTTATCAAAACACATGATATTACATAAATTACATCACATACATAGAACAAATCACAAATTAGTTATAAACTAAAATCGAGAATGGTAGTGTAAATTTAGATGTCTCAATAATCCCTACGGAGGCCGAAGGCACTTTATAAGAGGCATAAACCATTTAAGTAGTGGTATATGTGTCAGAGGAGAGAATATTAGTGTGTATTTCACACTGATCTCTCTTGATTTTGTGGTTAGAAACCAAAAGAGCACTGTTGTGTTAAATCAGTTCCAACCAAGGGAGTAATGCCCCCAGTTTTCACTACAATTATTTTGTGTCTTGATAAAGGCATACCTGCCAACTTTTCAAAATTCTCATGCAGGGAAAAGTGCATGAACATTTTTGACTCGCCAGGATACCTTGCACATTTGGCAAAAAAGGAAAAATAAATTAATGTATAATTAATCAATATTTTGTAGGTATGCTTAAGTTAATAATGTGCAAGCACTACTATAGTAATGATTTTCTTCCTGCAAGTCAGGATCAAGTTGGAATTCATTAAATGGGAATTCTTCATAAAATATGATTTTTGAAATTCTCAGTATTCATAGAACTCAAACAATGGAACAGACAACAAGATATATGATTATCTGTTTGGTTGAAGGTAAAGATAGATATTTCCAAATATAATGCTTGTGAAAGAATTTATTTCACTGAAATAATGAAAAAATAATATTGATCATCTCAAAAAATTTTAAGCTCTCATTTTAATAAAATTTTAGATAAACAAGAAAAAAAAAACCACTGAAGAAATAACTTTTCATGAAATTCAAAATTCTTTAATTTAGATCTAAAAGCCCTTGATATTTGATTTTTCATGTATTTACTGTGAAATGTATTTTTATAAAACAATTATAGGCAGATACAAATCTGGAACTTTGGTCCAGATCTGGTCCTCTATTACAAAAGTGTAGCTACGTCCTATTAAAGCATTACCCAACATACTTGTGATCTTTGTAAACTTTTAAGTGAGTTGAATGTTTCTTTAATCTGATTTTGGTACTCAAGATGCAAACTAAGTAGTTTTCTAAGGACTGGTATGGTTAAAATTTTAAATTGGTTGAGAAACATCTGAAAGATCCTTTTTGAAACAATTGATGAATTTGTTATTTGGTAATAGGTAATATATACATGGTAATAACTACTAAATTATCTGTGTAATGACCTCATCTTAACTGACTAGTTGCCAATGCCTGCTCCTGAGTTCTGACCAAGGGTCTATCATTAGGTAGGGAACAATTGGACGACTACAGATGTGTGCTCCAAATCGTAGTGGTCAGCAAGGATAACCTTACTGATACTAATTAGATAATTGGGTTGTGCATTCATCTAGGTAAGCCTCGTTTATATGGCAATGTGGTCAGCCTAATTACCTATTTGAGAAATATAGCAAGCTGACTTATGACCTATCTAGGAGGATATCTGAAATCGCGAATTTTTCCTTATTTTAATACATACGATTGGGAGACAGGGCTGGAAAATGAAAATCTGTCTAAATCTGGAAAGTTGACCAGTATATAAAGGGGCAGATCACCTTGAAAATTGACGATTCACTGATACATACTGTCGTTATTACTTCATTGATCATATATCTTTCCCAATAATATGCATTAAATACACTTGTTCAGGGCTCGCGCTGGCGATCGCCAATGGCGCCATTGGCGAAAGTGAAATGAGATTGGCGATTTCAAATTTCTATTGACGAAAATGCCGATTACAGACATTTCCAGTCACCAATGTCACTGGCGTTTAACTTATTTGTAACGAGTGACACAGGTAAATTTTGCTCCGACATCGTTGTGTACTACACGTTCACGGTTGACTGACTCACGCAGCTGGGGCAAGGTCAGCTATCGGAACTCTTTTGTGTTTTGACAGAAACGTTTACCTGTCTAAACAGCAACACGCCTGAAAAGAAAACCGCCAATTATCCAATGATGTCTCCATTGTCTCAATCCAAGATAGCCTCTGCCGTGAACAATAAGGTAAGTTAGCTGAAGGAAAGATGTTGTTTTATCGGGAATTGGCTTACGGTAGGTGGATCATTAGGTGTGTCGATGTCGTTAATTGGGCACGAGTTTGTGATTTGTGCAGACATAACTTAGTAAACTAGTGTATTTGAAAGGGCCCGAAATGGGCTTTTTGATCGACAATCAAAATAGCAAGAAACACAAGATATAATTTTGTTGTTTTTACACTATGTTGCCGATTTTGTTTTATATTTTTGTACATATTTTGGTCACATCAGATTTGGCCCTTCACTGAGATAGATCGTTAGATGAAATGGGAAAACGTAAACTCCCCTTTAGTGATAGGGATGGGAAAGTACCCAGATTGTCATCATTTGGTTTTAGGACACCATCTATTGAAAAGGAAAATGATAGTCCTGATCAGGTTACTAACAGGGGCAGTAGTTCAAGAAAGTTTCTAGATAGTTGGAAAATTGGCAGGCCATGGCTAAAATATGACCCAGAGCAAAAGCTCATGTTTTGTGACATATGTATTAAGGCATTAGTTAGAAATAGTTTCACTGATGGCTGCAGTATCATGAAGAAGAAGTGCTTGGTTAAGCATGAGAAAGGATCAGTATATACAACTATTCATCATTTATGAACAGAAAATTATGTAAATTTAGATTAAGTAATTCAGAAATACTATACAGCCTGGAGGATGGTACAATGTAGTTACTCATTACAGCCTGCTTGGCACATGAATTAGAAACACAATCTTTTAGTTTAACGATTATGTCTTTATTATCTCTGAAGTGTTTTTAAGAGATATATTACTTAGGAAGTTACTGTAATAAGTATAATACTTTGATGGTGTAAAATAAGGTTCAATGTAATCCTGTATCTCTCTGCAAATGTCCAATTCTATTCTAAATTTTATTTTCAATTTTACAGATGAGAACTCTCACTCTGCTGCTTTGGCAACACAACAGCAAACTGTTGAGATGCAGAAGGCCTGTAATAATTCCATGTTTATAAACTCTTTTACCATATACTGTGTTATGTTTGATGTATTGTTGTTAAAACAGTGAATAAATAATGTAATTATATAATTAGCATATGTGTTTTTATTATATGAGGAAATTAAGGGCTCGTCGGGTGAGGGTGAGTTCCGGAATCTGTTCGCACGCTTATAGAAAAAAAAATTGGTTTGGCAAAACTGAATTTTGACCCAGAGCTAGCCCTGCTGGTTTGTTAGGATCCAGTACCAATATTGGCAGTATCAATATTACGCATCAGATTATATATATCCTAACAAACAAGTGCATGTTGGATGCATTTTATTGCTGTCAGAGCAATAACCTGAATGGAAAATCCATTTTGTCAGCCTGTATCATAAAATAACTCCTTTCAGGTTCTGTCTTTCCTTGCACAGCAAATCAAATGGAAAACATATTCCATATTTAAACGTAATGTATAGCAAATGATAATTAAATATACATCATCCGAACCTCCATGCTTTAGTTCCGCATACCCTTGATATCTGCAGGATAAAACGTAAAATTGGACGGATTTACAATTACTTGAAACTTCGTGGTAGTATAGGTACAAATTCGGCTTAACATACTTTGATATTGGAAAAAATAAGCTATGGTCTGAAATCAAAACATATGACATGTGCGCCAACCCAAAACAAGCTGTTGCATGCAAGTTTAGTATATATGTCAATTTTTAAAAATCAGAGGTATCACCTTATGCAAAACTGTATAAATTCCTTCCTTGTTTCACATTTCTTGTAGTTTGTCAATAGAATCTCAATTACCGTTGAAAATAACGCAAATATGAAGGTCGTATCCTGCGTTACCCCACTGCTTGTTTACAAATGTCCGCCATTTTATGAAAAAGTTTTAAGTCTCGCGAGACTTAACGAGATAATCGATCATCTCATTCCCTTTCCTTTCCATTCAAGATTTTTATGACCCCGATTTATACCGATGACAAGCACGTTCCTGATTCAGATGTGAAGCAGACAGCACAGAAAGAAGATACATAGATTGGGTAAATATCTCACGTCCGACACTCCCAACAACACCCTCTGAATATCATATATTATGTATCTGTATATTTACAATACAGGGTCCTTACGGACATGTAATGCATTGGGGGAAGGAGTGCCTGTTACTTACTGTTGATAGAGGCCACTGATTGAAACCTTGAATTTGTCTCAGTTGCAATAACTGCCAGTTTTTTGGACAAGCAGGTTCCAAACCATAGTCGTATTGGGGAAGAACGAGATCTTAATTTCATTTGTCCTTGCTTCTGGAACTTTGTATCACATATTGTGGCTACATGAATGTTTTTCGTGTTGCCGTTGGAGAAACCTCTGAAACTGAAATTCGGGTGACGGAAAGTTTGCTGGGGGTGGGGGTCATTGATGGCAATATACCCTCAACTACTTTGAAGAATAGTGTAAGCCGTAATATTTGCCTGTGATCTGCTAATGGAGTCAGGCCCATGTCGTGCAACATGTTTGTTATGCAACCCTCTTCTCTGCTTCTGTAGTTTGTGTTTGACCCTGTCTAGGGTTGTTATGTGGTATTGGTAGTATGGGTTCCAAATGACGCATCCATTCTCAAAGGTTGACCAAACAAGGCAGTGGTAGGCTGAACTTCAGCAGAAATGTGGGCAGTGTTTCAGGTTACAGTTAATGAAGCTGAGGGAACAATGGGCTTTTTAACAGCCTTAGTAATGTGTGAGGTCCATCTCAAGTTTTCCTTGGTAAGCTCCCAGGTTGGGGCACTCACCAGTTTGCTTTGGAATCTGACCACTGAGAGAGTAGAAGTGAGGTTTCTTTCAGTCATAACTGTACATTTCCTTGGGTTGAACTTTATGCTCCAGTCTATTGTCCAACATTCAAGGTTATGGAGGTAATTCTGGAGTTGGAATGTGTCTAACACAGATCTAATCTCACGGTGGATCAGGCAGTTATATACAAAGAGACAGACTTGTGATGTGACTGCATCTGACAAGTCTTTTATGCAGCAGAGAAATAGGCCAGAGGACAGTCTCTTGGGGCACTCCAGAGGGAGTGTGTGAGGGGTAAATGTTCTCTGTCAACAACTACCTTCTTAACTTGATTACAGAGGAAGGAGATGAGTCACTTGTGGATATCAACATTAATACCATAATTTTGCATTTTATATTTTTAATGGGGCACTATGATAAAAGCTTTAGAAAAATCTAACACTATTACGTCAGTAGGAGTTCCATTATTGTGGCTCTGTAAAAGATCATGTATAGTGGTAGTAAGCTGTGTTTCACAAGAAAAACCAGCTCTAAAGCCATGGTTCAGATTAGTCAGAATGGAGTTTTGTTCTATATGGTCAAGTAAATGTTTACAGATAATGTCATCAATGTTTTTATATGACACACAAGTCAGTGGCACTTGACAGTAATCATGGACAGATGGGCATTTCCACTTTTGAAGATCTGTGGAACATTAGCATTGGTCAAGTCATAGGGGAATGATCCACTAGTAATGGAATATTGAAATGTACCAGTAAGACCCCTAAAACATGGTAAGAAATAACAATAAATATTCTGCCTCCCATTCTAACCCTGCCCACCCTAATTATAGTGGATTATTTAAATAGACAAACTCCTGTGCTCATACTGTGTACTTGAGGGATCAAGGGCCCTGAATTTGGTACACAGCACATTGTTTTAGTATGATCAAAGTATCAACCAAGTTTCATTATCCTAGCTTAAATGCGAGCAACATTATGCTCTGGACACAATATTTTAATAAAGGGCAGTAATGGCAGAAACTCTATAATTCAAGGGGGTTAATCACCCTGAATTTGATACACTGCACATAACCTTAGTATGACCAATTTATACACCAAGTTTTATGACCCTTGCTTTACTGTGGGCAAAGTTATGCTCCAGATGGAAAAACATACGGATAGACATGATGGTAACTATATGCTCCTTTGAGAAGTTTTGGTGAGCATAATAAAAGATATTGGACAGTTGAAGTGAAGTACCAACTATATACCATCTTCTCTAATGAGCAAAAGTTACCAGCCTTTCCACATCATTTATGGTGCACAGCCTGACACTTGTCTGTATTATTTTATTTTTCTCTTGGCGTTCATTTTGTATCAGTCTGGAGACAATGAACATCATAGTCAGAAGGGTTCTGACAATCTATCCATGATTTTATATTTGACTTGATCACAGTCGATAGTCAGAATTCCTCTTTACATAAAGATGCCAGATACATCAATATCCATGCTGAGAGAATGGTGAAGCAAAGTTCGGTATATAGGCAATGTTTAGTATTATTTACAACAGCGCAATAGTTGTAAGTCATGCATCAGTGGAAGGATAACATATTTTTCTGCAATTAAATATTGTAACCAAATATTTCCACTCATTTTTCCTGACAACTTAACTTTCCAGCATATTTACTCTAGTCACCAAATGCTTTACAGGAAAGAAAGATCATTTATAATCGTAATATTGTAATTTATATCATTTTGCATTAAAAACTAATCATTCATTCAAATTTGTGACCATACATCATCATTTAATTGTTCTTTCCAAGATCATCCTTTGTTTTCCTTTTTGTTACAGTGGCATGGCTACAGAAATCGACTTGGGCCATGATTTTGACACAAGGAAATCCAACAGTTAACACCAGCTTCCTGAAAACTTTGTTGAGGTTATGTCAACAAGAATGTCACGGGTTCTAATATATGTCAGAGGAGATCACTCTGTAGAAGAATATTGTTTTTTCTCTCGAGAATTATCACCAGTTTTAATTGACTACCAGGAAGTTGGTGTAACACTCTTGTATGATACAAAAACGAAGCATACACATCTCTGCCTGATTAAATTTGATCCTGATAACCCCAAGAATTTCATTGATGAAAGCCAAAAAAATGAAACATCTAACAACAGCTACCCTGGAATTAGAACGTCACAAAATGCCCAGTGTGTTTACAGCAACGAAAATAAAGGAAATACCAAGAATGATTTTCAAAATCCAAGTCACCTCTTGCAAATGTCATTTTCAGATATTGTTCCAGTAAAAGAAGCGATCTTGCCATTTGATGCTCATCTTGTGTCTTGTATTTGTTTTGAACTGAAAAGGTCAAGGATATTTAGGAGAAGATTTCTGAAATTTGTGGCAAGGAATTTTGGATTTAAACCTTTCATTGTGCCAACTTCAGTGACTATTTCTCATGTTTGTGAATTCTTTGATTCTGTGGTGCTGGTGCCGTATGTAGTTAAATTAGTTTTATTGTATCCAAAACAGAAGATTGATTATGCATGGTAAGTAATTAATTTCAGTATTTGAATTTTTGAGATAGATATATGGATTTGATTTATAATATTTCTCTGTTATCAGTCTTGCACATTTACAAATGATATGATATTATCATTCTAAATTGTAATACCCCAATAACTGCAAATATTTTCATTGATTTTATTAATGTATACCAAAATATAAATTTGAAAGTATGTTTTCCTTTCCTATGCTCTTTATCTCACCCATAATTGGTGACAGTTCTTCCTGTCATGACATCTCAACACTTTAATACCAGTTTTAACATGTTTTATGGCATATCAAATTTAAAACATGTATTTACATAGTAAAAAATCATGAATTTAAAAATCATGATATTTGAAATGGACATATTTTCAAAGCTTTTAAAATAGATAAGTGTACAGTGAATTTACAAAGCATTCATTTTCATTCATGTATTTTGAAAAGCTTAGAATTTGATAAATGTATTTACAAAGCATAAAATTTGATATAATCATTTACAAACATAAAATTAGATAAATGTATTTACAAAGCATCAAATTTATTATATGTATTTAAAAAGAATGAACAGTGACAAATGTATTTGCAAAGCTTAAAATTTGATACTTGTATTTACAAAGCATGGAATTTAATACTTGTATCTAACAGCATGAAATTAGAATAGAAGTTTTTATGAAACAGATGCCAGAAAATTCAAAAAGAATTAATCTCAATAGCGGGTTCTTGAAATCTTGAAATCCTTGAAAGTTGAAGGGCCCATATACTCACCACTTATAGTAACAATGGCAATGACTTTATCTCCAGCTACAGATACAAGAAAGTTACAGTCTTGTAAATTTTTTGTTTCTATAACCTGTTTGCCATCTCATCATACTATTTTTATACACCCGTCGAAGACAGGTCTTAGTATGCTTTCATGTGAACGGGCAGGCAGATAGGCTTGCGCACATGGTGTCCGCTCAATAACTTAACAGATCAACTTCAAACTTTCTGGGAAGGTTCATTTCCATGGTTGCTAGGATGAGTTCGATGATTGCAATGGCTCTTTATTTACTTACAGAAACAGTGTTTGCTTGATATTGCAAGTAGTTTTCTATGGATCAACTTTAAACTTCAGACTCTTGCAGAAAATGTCTCTTTTTATTGCAACTTTTTGTATGCTTGCCAGGAATTACCGGATTGGAAGTCAAATTACTAGGAGGCTAATGCTTGATGATGCCATGAACTGGTTGTCCACACTAGGGGGAGGTTACTCCTCACTTGGGGACTACTTCCAACACCATGTAGGTATCAATTAGAGGGGAGGTGTAGTTGTCAAAATGCTGTGCCACCATATTTCCCCATTTAGAAATCATTATTGAGATGCAAAAGACAGATAACATTTTTTTTTCTCCCTAGGGATATTTTGTTAATTTGTATGAGGTGAGATGTTTGTGTTATTGATTAAAAGACTTTTACTAAGGTAAGAATGCATCTAGATAAAAACGTTTTTTGTTGTGATCATTACTAAGTTATGGTATTAATTTATTACAAATATGTGTATCACAATCGTTTAATGAACATGTTTCAACATAAATTATAAATCACATTGGTTAATTTTGAAATAGATTTGTAAGTTCTTGATTACTTGAAATTATTTGTCAAGTTTATTGTAGAGTTTTTGGTTTTACGTTTCTATTCTTTGTGTTAGGCAGAGGAAGCAGGGAGGATCTCAGTACAGCAGCTGAAGCTAGCAGAGCAGATGGGAGATCCTATCATGAGTGCCAGATGTAGACTTTTCTATGCACAGAGCTTAATGCAGAGAGGCTTTGTCAAGCAATGCAAAATTATTGTAAGGTAAATATATAGACTAAACCCCCCAGGAGGCAATGTTGTATGGCTGAATTAATAACAGAGTTTGTCACATGGTCTGTATCATTATCTATTTTAGAAGTAGTTTGAGCTGCAGAATTTTCACCAATCTTTTAAATTATTTTGCTTGTCAGATTATTCAAGCCTGACGGAATCAAGTGTAAATAAACAGGATGATAGTTGTTGACAAATGTTTCATTGGTTGAATAACATATTGGTAACACACTCACCAGTCTCCCAGGCATCCATTGTTTGATAATCCAATAGCATATGAACAGGTATGGGATCACCTACAATGTATCACACAAACTTGTTCCTCAAATTGTGAAATAAATAGTGACTAGTTTTTTGCTTACAAATTCAAATTATTTTTGTGTACATGTACTTCATATATTTATTGTTTTTTTTCTTTTACAGGGCACAAAGGTACTTCTGCAAGTCTTTATTCGCTTCAGACGACAAGCTTCTAGCTCTGTATAAGTCACTGAAATGGAGGTTACTGCACCTGAAGAACAATTCAATCACAATTTCATGAACTCTGGATTGGATAGTCATAATGAATTGCTCAAGACTTGTTAAGTTATGAACAAGACCAAATACTCTGTGTTTGACATTTTGTTAAAGTCTTTCAGTTTATACAGTGTTATATAGAAAAGAATTGCTGTTTTACTTAAGAATGAATGATATGTTTTATAATGACATTACTAGTTGGTTGAGCATCAACACCTTTATTCCTCGCTTACAACTTTCCTATTATGAACCAGGAGAGTCATGTAGATTTAGTCTCATGTCTCTGTGTACAACATATATCATACTATTATGATAACTAACTATGTAAAAAGTATTTTTCAGAGAATCATTGCCTTGGTTTCTCACAAACATGATTCATTGACTTATACTGAAATTTGTGCTTTTTGTTTTACTTTGTTTAATTGTGAATCAAAGTTTGGGCTAAGGAAGACATTTCACACAAGTCTCATTTTAAAACAAAGCAGAGTCAGTTAGAAGTACCCTAACTTTGGTAAAGACCTGAAGTAAAATGTGTTCAAAGTTCATCGTTCAGTATACATCAAGAGTATTTAATTTAAGCATCATTGTATTTTTTATCAACAGGTCAACCATCTTGCTTGCATTGATTGTGTGATAAAATTATGGGTCTAGAATAAGATATGTTGCATACAATTTCAAGTATCTCACTACCTCTGTATGTAGAATCCTTGAAATTGAGCACAGTCTTCTTTCTTCTGTATTGATAAACAGGAATAAATGTCTTTATACTGTCCTTTTGTTATGCCCATAGACATTTGTCCATTTGGTATAAAGATCTATCAAAATTTACAATTTGGCAAGGTCTGAGCTGTGGCTAATCGACTCCTAAAGATGTCCTGCTGGTAAACAGGTCTTCACTGTGGCTATTCAGCCTGTATTAACATCCCGTAGGTGAAAAGGTCTTAACTTTGGCTATTTGGCTACTATGTTAAACTGACTTATGTCTTACTTCCGGTCAAAACATCAGAGGAGTGAAACTTTAGAGGTAAAGAGGTTTATCGATCCCCTTAAGACATCCTGTTGGAAGAGAGGTCTACACTGTAACTATTTGGCCCCTTATCCATCCTGCTGGTGAAGACAGGCCCCTGAAGACACCTTGTTGGTAAAGAGTTATAAAGTGTTGATGTTTGACCGTTGCTTGTTTCCTGCTGGTAAAGAGGTCTAGACTGTGAGTGTTCGACCCCTGATGGATTCCTGTTGTTAAAGAGGTTTAAACTGTGGATTTTCAGCCCCAGATGAATCGGTGAGGTCTTCACTGTGCCTCTTTGGCCACTACATTCGTCTCTGGATAAAGAGATCTTAACTGTCACTATTCGGCCACTACATTCGTCTCTGGATAAAGAGATCTTAACTGTCACTATTCAGCCACTACATTTGTCTCTGGATAAAGTGATCTTAACTGTGACCATTAGGTCATTATATGCGTCCTGCTGGTATAGATATCTAAACTGTGACCATTAGGTCATTATATGCGTCCTGCTGGTATAGATATCTAAACTGTGACCATTAGGTCATTATATGCGTCCTGCTGGTATAGATATCTAAACTATGACTACTGCTTCACCAAAGTTCATTGAAGTTTGGTGCCAAAAAAGAACTACTGGATGTGGGATTTTTTTTTCTGCCACTACATTCGTCTCTGGATAAAGAGATCTTAACTGTCACTATTCGGCCACTACATTCATCCATGGATAAAGAGAGCTTAACTGTCACTATTCGGCCACTACAATCATCCATGGATAAAGAGAGCTTAACTGTCACTATTCGGCCACTAAATTTGTCTCTGGATAAAGAGATCTTAACTGTCACTATTTGGCCACTACATTCGTCTCTGGATAAAGAGATCTTAACTGTCACTATTCTGCCACTACATTCGTCTCTGGATTAAGAGATCTTAACTGTCACTATTCGGCCACTACATTCGTCTTGTGGATAAAGAGATCTTAACTGTCACTATTCTGCCACTACATTCGTCTCTGGATTAAGAGATCTTAACTGTCACTATTTGGCCACTACATTCGTCTCTGGATAAAGAGATCTTAACTGTCACTATTCTGCCACTACATTCGTCTCTGGATTAAGAGATCTTAACTGTCACTATTCGGCCACTACATTCGTCTTGTGGATAAAGAGAGCTTAACTGTCACTATTCGGCCATTACATTCGTCTTGTGGATAAAGAGAGCTTAACTGTCACTATTCGGCCACTACATTCGTCTCTGGATTAAGAGATCTTAACTGTCACTATTCGGCCACTACATTCGTCTTGTGGATAAAGAGAGCTTAACTGTCACTATTCGGCCACTACATTCGTCTCTGGATTAAGAGATCTTAACTGTCACTATTCGGCCACTACATTCGTCTTGTGGATAAAGAGAGCTTAACTGTCACTATTCTGCCATTACATTCGTCTCTGGATAAAGTGATCTTAACTGTGACCATTAGGTCATTATATGCGTCCTGCTGGTATAGATATCTAAACTATGACTACTGCTTCACCAAAGTTCATTGAAGTTTGGTGCCAAAAAAGAACTACTGCATGTGGGATTTTTTTTTTAAGTACGGAATTCTATTGTTAGCTTAAACAATCTGATTAAAATTTGATGTTCAAATTAACTACATATGAACTAGTTAATTTGAACATCAAATTTTAAATAGATGGTAGTTTTAGCAAACTGGAATCTGATTTTGCCTCTTCATAGTATTTTCTCCATATGCTAGGGAACTGTACACACTGGTTGTATTTCAGCTAATTATACTTGGTAATAAAGAGCAAGTCTTATAGGAACATTCAGTTATATAACGATGACATTGCGTAAGTAATATTCCTCATACTATTTGAAGTGAAATATGATGGTCATCACAGTGTATTTATTGTCAGTGTGGGTGAAAGAGATAAACAGATTGTAGTCTGTTTAGACATCATAATCATTATGGCAATTAGATATAACCTGATAATCATACAATATATTTACATTTTAGATCTCATTTTGAAATATCTGCATTGTGTTTATAGAGGTTATCAGCTGGAAGAACATCCTTGTAGTAATTATCTTCGATATGACTGATGTATAGCTGTAATGTATTTGAGGCCATATGCAAAGCGTTGATGTAACTTAGGAAAATTTACTGAGATTGAGAAAATAGAGGGGGTTGATGCATACTCTATGAATACTAGCACTGGTATGTCAACGTTTACTGAAGTTGAGATAATAGAGGGGAAGGTGTTGTTGCATACACTATGAATACTAGCACTGGTATGTCAACGTTTACTGAGATTGAGATAATAGAGGGGAGGGTTGCATACTCTATGAATACTAGCACTGGTATGTCAACGTTTACTGAGGTTGAGATAATAGAGGGGAGTGTTGTTGCATACTGTATGAATACTAGCACTGGTATGTCAACGTCACATTAATTTTATCTGTGAACTTGTACTGATTTGGCTGGTATCTCATTGATATATATTTATATAAAATACATTTACATTGTTATAACAAGTATTGTTGTTTGTTATAGAAACCAAAAGATAATGGATAGTTCACATGATATCTTCTAACTTAATTGTCTAACTTAGTTGTCTAACTTAGTTGTCGATGTTTGTATTGATTGCAGTAATCATGTTTTTCACCTCTAATATAAGGCTTTTGTTTCACATGCAAAAGACAATTGATCAGCTGATTGAGACAGAAATTAGATATATAAAGTAGATAGATGAGATTGTTCAAAGCCACATCAGTGATGACAATGATGACAGTGAATAACAGAACTTTATGCAGGTTTTCTTTCCTTTGAATTTAATTGACCCCCATAATGTGCTCTAGATATCCAGAAACTACGATGCCATCCTTGGCAAAGAGCCACCAGCTGTGGTTCCACTTTCTGGCTTTGTGGTTCAACATAGAGGTGGACTCATTTGGATCTATATCCATGCCAAGAGAATGGTGAAGGGAGGCTTCTTGATAATAAGATATTTTTACTAAATTTGATATCCGAAACGGAAAATGTCTTTTTATCTGGCATTGGAGATATTAAAAAAGTCTGTGTAAAATCATCATAGGCTTAAATATTGAAAGACATCTATTGATTACACAATATATCGTTCATGAAATGTCCCTGTTTGGAACAGTACAGGGGAACTGCCTACACAAGCCATAATTCACAATAATTGTGATTCCGTAAAATCCTCCAAGATATGTAAATTCTAAGCCCTTTCTATATTGACACTAAGCAATGAGTTTTGATATTTCAATCTTGTTTCAGATGACTACCATTTCATATTACAAATGCAAACTCAAACTGTTTAAAGTTTGTAGTTCATCGTCTGATGAATGACACAAACAGGTTGTATTTGTTTAATCTTACAAACAGCAAGAAATGCCCTCATAATTTACAGACAGATTTTACTTCGTAACGCAAAGAGCTAGAAGACACAAAGGTAAAAAAAATCAACTTTTCGTAAGAAAATCTTGATTCATGTTATCAATTTAGGAATGAACACATGAATAAAATCACCACAGATTTATGTGTCTACATTTTATTGGGTTTTGATTAAAAATAACAGGCAATTTTAGGCACACCTCACAAACGTGTATAGACATGCGATAAACAGGTATTATCATTGTAGTTATTTGTGTTCAACTACAGGGCATACTATGGATGATAAACCTGCACAACACTGATATAGTACTCGTACATATTTATCATTAAATGTCCATCAGCTCTGTTAAGCTGTGAAACGTAATGGTGATAATTCAGATAGTGAAAGAAGCTGTTTACTACTGAGAGTTTTGTGCACATCGTATTTATGTTGTCATATAACACAACAAGATGAACGACGATGGGTGGTCTCGATTTATTGGCAATTCGAGTGTAGATCTAACGCGGAGTCTTGTCCAGTCGAGCCCTCTACCCCACCCCAAAACTCCCCTCCTTTTATCCATATTCCATAAGATCTTATCATGGAAATGCCACGACCTAATGCCTCATTGATTGAGTTTCATATCAGGGTGGACTTCAGTTCATTAGATTGCCTAATACATGTTAACCAGGTGAAATGCATGTTTCAGAGTTAGATCTTTGGCGCGGCGGGCATTTCCAAAGGCAGACCGCCGTCCGAAAGATAGCTGAATTTGTCAATAAAATATACTAATAGGATTAGTAGATATCAGTGCTGTCCACTGTAAATACAGTTACGAAATATCGGTGTGCATTTATAAATCACACCCAGTCTACCAGATATTACGTATTGATAAAATTAATCCTACAACCAGTCAGCCAACGATTACCGACTTATGTATCCGAGATACACTAATATCGAAATCACATTCTGTAACAGTCATTTGACAAGTGGAAACCGAATGCTTCCAAACGATTGCCTATGACGGAGTGTAGAAGTGTCGTTCAACACTTTTTGAATATTTTTTTATCATAAATGTACACATATACACACACTAATACACTCCTCTCACTCGCACACATACACAAATAAATTGTATCATTATACAGCTAAACGGAAAACTTAGATATGATACAACTTATTAATAAAGTTATATGAACGGTAGGGGAAATTCATAATATAAAGATATGTGTTGGGATTACCATACATAGCTACAAGTATATTCCAGGTCTGATTTAGACAGCTCAAATAAATACAGCCAAACACAAAGCTTAATAGAACAAATGATGAACAGAATTCAGTTCACAGTAAACGTTAACTCCGTGTTTGGTTATGACAGTTTAAATACTTCGACAGAAATAAAGCCTAACACCAAGCCAAATGGAAAAGGGCTGCATTAGAAATACCAAAAACTTGTTACATGTATTAAGGATCTGGAAAACTATGCTCGTGATTCATAGTAAGATTACCATGGTTTCCTTACCAGGTACGTATCTGTTGCTTCATTGATGGCGGTCAGCCCAACAATGTAAGGTTCTCAAAAGGAAAAGGAAAAAAAGGCATACTTACGAGCATTCAGAAATATTGAATCTTAATTTCATGACGAAGTATTTATTATAAAGTTACTTTATTCACGATATTTAGTTAGCTTGACATGGACAATTATAAGGGCGTGGCTATATGTGATAAGTGTAAGAAGATCGATGAGCCAATCAAACGCCTACAATCATGACAAACTAAACATTCGTAAATGGAGTTATTGATTACAACTAGATTGACTTATTCTCTTTTCCCTTCCAAAATTTTGTGAGTACAAAAGAAATACATGCATAGCGCCAGCACATAAGGATAAATATAAATAAAATTTGGCAATCGGGAATCACGAAAGTAAGAGAAAGGTACATCAAAGCAAGAACTCTTCATAGAGTATGCTGGGATTCAGGCAAACGGAATAATGGTACCTCGCACAGCAGACACAATACTCTTCATAGAGTATGCTGGGATTCAGGCAAACGGAATAGTGGTACCTCGCACAGCAGACTCAATACTCTTCATAGAGTATGCTGGGATTCAGCCAAACGGAATAGTGGTAACTCGCACAACAGACTCAATACTCTTCAAAGAGTATGCTGGGATTCAGGCAAACGGAATAGTGGTAACTCGCACAACAGACTCAATACTCTTCATAGAGTATGCTGGGATTCAGGCAAACGAAATAGTGGTAACTCGCACAGCAGACTCAATACACTGTTTATTCATAAAATTTATATTTAGATACGTTAATTAACAGGAAAATCAAGAAATTAAATGGTGTCAGTGTCTTTTCAAACTATACGGTCACCCTTATTCATGTATGTAATACTTGTAGGTATGATGTCACTTCCTGCATGAATACCCATTAAAGAATATTTGAAGAAAAAACCAACAAAAACATCTCGATGGCACAACCAGAACGTGGTTTGAGCTGGAAAAGTCTTTGTGGAGGATAGGCAGTAAACATTTAATACAGCTTTGCTGGTCACATACAAAAACCAAATTGAATTCCGTGCTTATCGATGTTAATAAATGTTTACTGCCGAAAAGTAACATAAGCCATGATTCCCATCAATATAATCAAACGGTGAAACAATTCAATCTAAAGTATACCAACAACTACTAGTACTAGTTTCACTTAAATACATTGAATTATAGACAATATCATAAACAAATTTAGTCACTTAAGTACATGTATTTAAACCGCTAAAATGTTACTGTTTACATAGGACGAGTAGAGGATTACCATAGAAGTCTGATAACTGAATTATGTAGTCGGTAAATGATAGATATGTTGTTGCTAATATAATTGTATATAACCTAGTTATAATAATCCGTCATATCAGCGTCATTAAGCATGTGCTCAGCCTTGTTTATTCCATCGTATCGATTGTTACAAGGGCCTAATGACGCACATACTTATTGAAAATGAATTGCTAGAATTTCCAGCAAATAAAATATGCATAAGTCTTTACTAGTGATTAATAGCAAACGTTCTCCAGCTCACCGTGACGTATCACAGTCATTAATAACTAGCCTTAGGTGCCTCGTGAAGTAAGCCACATTTACATATTTAAACATTGGCTCATTTTTCATCAAATACCATGCCAACAATTTGTAATTATAATATCTATGTTTTGTGTTTTCGCTCTAATTTTATCATTTTTGTTCGACTATAAAGTATTCACATTAACAAAGATTGTACAAAAGACACACAGATGAATGATGAATTCCAATACAAATTTAGAATTATACACAACCTAGGTAAACAATGAATTAAACTGTATCATACAACTTCTTCGCCCTTCTAGGCGACTAACAGTAGTTTTAATACAACAGATGTTATAAAACAAGTATGGAGGATGTAACGAATAAATATAATTAGCAAAAAAATAAATATCATTGAAAATGATACTGCTGTTATTGGATAAACTATTAAGAATATTATTCTGAGAAGAAATCACTTCTCATATGTATTTTTCTTATCCGTTGTAACTAAACAATATTGTTTCTTTACATTTCAGCGGCTTTCTGACGAAGAACTAAGAGCAACGCTGCTTGTCTGAGTAGCTGGTGGGGAGATGGTTCTGCTAAGTCTCCGACTCGCGTTTTCATAACCTTCTTTCAACAGTACGTAAACCCTTTTATTGACAATAAATCCAAGAAAAATCAACACACCCTGACTGCCATTCAAAATTGTAGTTAGATACGAAACTACCGACAGAGGAAAAAATGCTTCAATTACCGTTGCTAACCAAGAGACACCTGTTATAATAAACAATTTGACATAGATTCCAAAATGGCGGTGATTTTCCTGGTTACTGTCTACGCGAGGAGTATTACGTATCTTATAGGCCGTGATTGAAAAGAAAATTATGTTCGACAAACAAACTAAGATTACTGGAAGCAAAAACGTTACAATAAATGATATTTTACTTGATATGAAACATTTGTCAACTCCGTACCCAGTTGTCTGCCCTTTGTTGAAGCCAAGTGTAAATACAGTATTAACAAAGACGATGACAACCGGAAGTCCGAATGAGTACATAACATATTTTCTTAACGTCTTCACTTTGTTATGTAGAGCGTGATAACTACCTATTCCACTGAAAACCCGGAACATATGAAACGAACAAATATTCACACACCCAAACATTGACAACCACAACACGTGCAAAATTATACCAATGACTTCACAAAATGTTGAATCTAGAGATACTGTTAATCCAAACTGGAACGATAATTGTGTGAAGAACAGGGCAAACACCAGACACATGTTATTGATGCCTGGTATGGACTGGAGGGTTGGATTTACAAGATAGACAATGAATGTGAGAAAGAGACATATCAGGGAAGCGATATTACAGACTAGAGTTAGGATGGCAAGGGCAGAGTCTACATCTTCAAACACTGGGTCCGAAATGGCTTCTACATCTTCCACACAAACACGGACTCTTCCGTGGGAAGATCTTTGGAATTTGTCAAACGGAAGAGTCTTTCCGATGCTGTGAATCGTTAGCTCCATTTTAATCATGTTGATGTCATACTCGTCACTTTCCAGTTCAATTTGTTGACATAAAAGAACTTTTGATACATAGACCGACCTAAATGTCTGCCATGGAACAAAACTATGATCTGAAAATCTTTGAATGTAACATGTTTCTTTGAATGAGGCTTTCTGGATAATCGAAGGTGTCATCACAGCTGTAAGACTTGTCTTGGCAGCAAGTTCTAAAACTTTGATTCTCTTAATAGTCACATTCCATAGATCAGATGTGTTTTCCAACAAAGAATTTTCCGTCCGAAAACGTGGTACGTATCCCTCAATATGAAGCGTTGTATACAGAAACAGTTTGATGTTTTCTGTGTTGATATATGCCGAGTTCGATTCGCACGGAAAATTAGATAAAAGAAGAAAATTATCAAATTTAAATTCTCTTACCCCGAACATTTTAGAAATATGCTGTTTGATACCAATTTCCACAGACTTAAGGAAATCTAGAGCGTTTGTGTTGTTTCCTTGGAGATGACCATTGAATTCGATGGATAATGTGTACCGTAAATTGTTCGTTATCGTCAATAAAGGGATGCAACTGCTATCGTTAAGAACTTTTCCGGGAAAACATGATATGTTACGACATTGGTCCTGCAAGTAAAAGATTGTAAGTACATTAATAATGATCTTGTTTACCACCGTCATCGACGAAATTTGACATAATTGCACTTAATTGGTCATTTACATTGGTGATAAATAAATATTCTCAGTTGTCAAAAATAAATTATTCATAAATATCTATAATTAAAGTAAACACAATTTTTCATATGAGAACTATGAAAAACATTATTTTAGTTAAGGTTTGTAGAAAAGGAGTGAACATATTAGGAATGGATATGTCCACTGTTATCACAAAACATATTAGGAAGGGATTTGTCCTCTACACGTCACTGATCATTTGATGTGATATTATTGTCTTCCTACCTTGCGATAATCGTATATTTGATGTTTCCGACATCTCTCACCATTCACTTCAGGTTGAGAGTCATCGTACTCCGCGACAGAAAATATAGACCGGAAAGTCAGTTGGAACGAGAACGAAGGATCAGTTCTGGATCGTGGTGACAGATCCGACCTATGACCTTGTGGATCTGGAAGTATTTCTGGAATTCCCGCTGAATTACAGATTTCACAAAATATGTTTTTATATTGCGGATAGCTGTATATTCTCGGGAAGAGATGACACGCTTTCTCGTAGTTCATATTGTAATGCTGCCATTGTCCAGTTTCGTTACAGGTTGAAATGACGTCAGTAACCACATGTTCCGGATTACACAGGTAACAGTAGAAATTTTTGAATCTTTTATATCCTGCTAAGGTGTTGCCGGGGGCTATCTCACACGCCCACGCGACATCTGGGTCAAACACAGGCCAGTTTCCAGTGACGTTACATCTACTAACGAGCCGTGTGTGTTTGATACATTTAACCAGTGGGAAGTTAGGATTGAATCGTTGAGTTCCTCTGTTCATGCGAAACTGAACATCACAATTTATATGTTTTGAGAGGTTTATTACATCCATGAACGACACAAGATGGCTAAAATCTAAAACAGATTCACACATGATGTTAACGTCAGATAAAAAGTAGTTTTTTCGTTTTGCAATTTTTTCTATTCTATTCGTCGGATTTATCTGGGTAATATTTCTGTTACACAGGTAACAGTCAAAACTCTTGTAATGCGTATTCTGTATTCGTTCAACCAGTGGTAGGAATGAACTTGCATCCGTCGGATTATTGGATGTGCATCGGTTCCGGATGACTGGATGTCCCGCGTCATTCCAACAACCATCCGTAACGAATACATTTTTAGTATTATGTTGTCGTTGGTTTGATCTTACTGCAAACGTATCGATACATGATGCTGGATAAGTCAACGAGGCGTCAAGACAGCATATCCTCCCGGGACGAAACAGACAGGAGGATGGCTGACAGGAGCATTTCTTAAACACTACCAATACGTATTGTAACGGGACTAAGGCGTTATCACAAAACTGGTCAAAGGGGCGGACTGCAAACATTTTGTAGATCAAGTTTGTGACATTGAGATGCCTGTCATTCTTTCTTACGATTAAACTCTTTTCAGGTCTATCAACATGCATATCAATATTAATGTCGATAGGTAACCCCTGCATGTTGAGAACAGTATAGATGTAGCGTAGGTGATTCGTCCGAATCTTGCCTGTCTTTATGATATACGAATAAAAGCGAGTTCGTTTTCTAGCAATGATAGACATTTTTTCTTTAATGGCGGTAGTGACGTCATAGAACATTTCATTGTCGTTGGCTATCCTGTTACATAGATAACAAAATATGTTTTTGAATGGACGTGTATTTTGTGAAGCTGAATGGTACAAACACGCGCGTTCTAAACCCGCGTCATAAGGATACCACATCCCGGTCGTATTGCATCGGCCGATGACGTCATCAGATATATGTGTAGGTGGATTACACATGTAACAAAACACATTTTTGTATTGGCGGAATTGTAATTGATATGTCGACTCGCATGCTAATTTGATTGCCTGATTGAATGCTTTCCAAGATCCGAAAACGTTACAAGAACGGGTAATCTTTTTATCTTTAGGTTGTATTTTAAGTTCACACGGGCGAACTGGGTGCTGCATCGGGGTATACCTCATTCGACATTTTCTATTACGAGCTTGATCAATGATTTCCTGATATGTCGATAGAAAATTAAAATCGGCGAACTTGAGACAGTCAATATCGAGGATCCAGTTAGATGTGTTATTTTCACCATTACATTTTGCACAATATTTGTTTTTATAACTAACTGGGAACTTTGTCGAGGCAACCGGCGGTCGAATAAGCAGTTCTTTAATTGAATATGTTTTTTCACATCTGTTTCGGTCTCTACTTCCGGTTCCGTTTGGGCATGAACTGACGATTTCATAAGATGGTGGTTTGGGTGTAAGTTTTCTAATTTTAGACGAATAAGTTGCATTTAAAAGCGTGGTGTTAACACAGGTCATCGGTGGCAAAGCAAAGTATACATCCGGGCAACAGTCACCACGTGACATGCATTCGTTATCACAATGACAAGTGGGACACACCCCCGTGATGTTGTATGATTCGTCCGGGGCTGGGAAAGTCAACATTGGGAAATTTGAAATATGACAAATATAGTCATATCCACACATTAACAGAAACTGATGAATCAAAGTGTTCAGATCGGTTTTCCTTCCAAATGTGAAAGATTCATTCGTCTGCGAAAATATGACCACGTTTGAAGCAAATATTATCATAACTGCTGATTTGATATGTATATATTGAAACATCATGTTTACCTGCAAGAAATCAAAATCACATTTAACAATGATTTAGCATCGTTTATATCATGAAAATAGGAGAACATGTAGCATATAGAATTGACGTTTTAGAGTCTAACAGAAACGAATTTTCCCAAAGTTAGAATGGAATCAATCATACAACATAACGTAATTAATCTTATATCTCGATCATTCTATTGATGGCAGTTGGCATCAATTAACCGTGATTAAAATATTAACATTCAAATATTAAATTTACTTTTACAATAATTTATATCAAAATCGATTTGATAACAGTTCCTTCAGTTACCTTTTATAGTAAAAAAATAAATACAATTTAATTATGTTTGTCATTGCAAAGTCAATGAGTCGTGAAATCGACTGTCAAATCAGGGATAATTCTGAATTAGATCCATTTTCACACACCTTTTATATTGGAGCAGTGCAACAGAATATCACTGATATATATATATATATATCATAGGGAAATCTAACTTCGGAACAAACAATTGACAACATCATTATATTGCATGATTTGTGTCATTTCACTTTTCTACTGACAGACAGTGTCGGACCGAGGATAAAACATGGTGAAAGTGGATCCTCAACCAGAAAGGATTGATGAAATTACAAGGTATATATGTATATAAATCAAAATTGTAACAGCAATTTTTACCACTGTTTCATTTACACACAAAAATAGCAGATCACAAATACTTACCATCAATGGTTGCTGTCGTGTCGATTTGGCCTTAAACAGTTCTCCTTCATTTACAGATAATCACCTTATTTCATTTTCACATCCTTCTTTAGGGTTAGTGGATAAACTTTCCTTATTTCGATAAACTACACTATCAAATTCGTATACCACATACCTGCATATGTGCATGTCATCATTAAAATAGATTTGTCGACCTGTCTCATTGGTGTAATAGCCCATTAAAATGGTAACAGGTTGTCATATAAACATATACACAACGCGCGGGATGTTATCAATTTTTTTTGGTTCGGATGATTGATGATAATATATCTGTCATAATGACGTTATCATAATTATGTCGACTATAAGGATGTAAGAAATGACTGAACATGTCTATCAAAAACTGCTATTTTTACTTACGTTGGCATCTCGATAAAAAAAGAAGAAAGGTCCGATAATTTGTCAATTTCAATCGCTTTCACTACGACCCTCTACAATTCATTACCAGTTCTCAGATATGTGACCGAGGTTATCGTACGGTCCGTACACTTGTGTAGTTTTGTGTTGCTATCATGACGATATTGAAATTCTATTATAAACAACAATATATATTATAACCTCCTTTATTTTAATCGTATTAAGGATATGTTCTATATCCTTGGCTAGTTTGATATTTTTGTCTGTCTAATTTTGTTTTACCATTCAGTTTTTCCACTTTTGATATGAGCGTTGATGTCATGATGATTTTTAAAAATGCTTATCATACTTCTTGATAGAAATATGTTATTTTGGTTTCGTTGTAGAAGAAGATCGATGTAAATATCTGATACAGAAGAGTCTATCGTGTCCTTGATTTCCGATACTGGTGGATATATACGACGGACATGGTTGATTTCAGTTGTTTAATGGTTAGATATCATTAATTGATTTATAATTGATGGACTAGGGATTAACGACAAAACATCTAGCAGATAAGAATGACAAAGTTAACAGCTGAGTAAACAGATAACCAACTTTAAAACATTGAGCAATATTTCACTGAATTTATTCTCATCGTCACAAAATTAAAAGATTGAAATAATTCTCAGCAGAGTCAAACATATATATATATATATCAAAAAAGATAAAAGCTTTGTGTATGGTACATATAGAAGATCAAAACATTAACATTAACATGGTAAATAAAATCGTTAGCGGTTTCATACGATTTTCTTTGCCATGTTAATGTTTTGATTTTCTATATATACATATATATGTTTTAACTATGCTTTGATTCTAACAAAGATATCTTAACAATTCACATCATAAGTAAATAGCAATGATATGTTACAATACCATAAACCATTATTCTACCAAGCTATTCCAAATACACACAGTGATAAAAGATATATAAAAACTTTACTGTTACTGTTGACTGTAATTTTTGTAATTCTTGTTATCATTGAACACGAATTACGAATGTCTCTCTCATGCACGTGGTGATAGAACGTAACGAATAAAGGACCATCGCGCAACATCTTATCACACGTTATAGTGTGCCTCCGAAAATTTGAAATATGGTCAGTTTGCCAATCTTTGTCAAACTTTTGAGGGTTTTTATACGACCTCTCAATAGAATAGATGTTGGACATTTAGCAAGTGACATAGGAATGAAAATTGATATGATAAAAAAGTTGTTCGTTTTGTTGTTTGGTATAAGACTGAAACAATACGCTGTGTCATGATGGTAGTATTATGGCAGGCAAAATGTTTGTTTGCAATCATTAAAAACATTTCTATATGTTAATGAAGAGAATTCTGTCAATATAAGGATTAGCATTCTATTTCGTTAGGGTTGTTGGGGATAAGTACAATTGAACTGGAGTAACTTGAATATCTGATAAGTTCAATTGTAGCCATCCACCAAAACCTCAACACAATGCAATTCTTCACCAATAAGAATCGTATGCAATGCTTTGCGTTGTGAAAAAATAGAAATTGTACTTTAATTGCTGAGTGCTCGTTTTAATTTTATTACTTTTATCTCGGGATGAATGCTGTTTTCATCACAGTATCAAGCCACAAACAATACTTGTGCAGATTTAAAACTAGTGATTACATTCAATATATAGTAATTAAGAGAATCTATACGAATCCTTCAAACTTATTTCATTAACATTACATAAAAAAGGGATTTGACACAACATACAACTTGTAAGACCCTCTATCAACATAACAAATACACAATAAGACAATGCATCATGATGACTTAATTTAGATTGAAAAGAAAATGCTGTGCAAGTACTTATTGTTGTGATGATGATTACTGGAATAGTATCCAGATAATGGTTTCAGTTGTTAAGTATTTTTCATTTTGTGTTAATCATTCATAACATATCACATACTGAGCGAGATGCATTACCTGCTTCGTGTTTTTCAAGAAAAAAAAAATAAAAAACGAAAATATAGCATCTCTACACCTAAATATGCAATTGATTTATAGTTTCCTATAGTAATTTGAGCTAATTTTGATATCAACAGTTATTGGCAGATTTGGACTTAATTGTCAACATTATTAAAATGCTTAACAACTAATCTTTATATCAGTGACACGTGGGGATTTGTAATTCAACAGTACGTCAATTATATTTTCGTTCAGCTAGAACTAACGGAACCAAATTGAAAGACAACTTCCATCAAAATATTCTGCTAGGAAAGGAATTATTTACTTAAGGTTAACAGAAAAGCCATTAAACCTGCATTTGAGATTATCTTGATAACTATACTGTCATTCAAAGTTTTTGTCAGAGCAAATCTCTTTACTTCTGGTATAATTCCATCGCGCTAACTTTAAACATACATGTGTTATTAGTTTGCTGGCAAATGTGCACAGTGGGGAGTTCTTTACTAGAACTGAAACCCGAAGTTTAATTAAACTTTTAATTCTACTAATAAATTGTTCAGTGGTGTATTTGTGAAATGTAGTAAAAAAAAAAATAAATATATAATGTGCCTATAGCTATTTTTAATCATGGTTGTCATATCGTAATTATTACAGAACCGAAACGATTCAACTATTAGGATAAGTTTGATATTCTAATGAAACATCAGTCATTGTCTTTGGAAGAGGAATTCAGGTTGAAAGTACTGGTTCGAGTCATCAGATTGGAGTTGTTTCTACCGAAGAGATGGCCTGTATTTGTAACTTTTTCTTTTAAAAGCGTATACACTCTTCTATTGACTATGAAGCCAATGAAAATCAAAACACCCTGGCAACCGTTCAATACTGTTGTGAAATACGAAACTATCGACTGAGGGAAAAATGATTCAATGACCGTTGCTAACCACGTGACACCAGTTACAAAAAATAATCTAACATATATCCCAAAATGGCGATGATTTTCATGATTGCTCTCTATACGCGGCGTATTACGTATTTTGTAGGCCGTAATTGAAAAGAAAACTATATTTGATAAGCAGACAAAGATTATCGGAAGCAAAAATGTTACAATGAATGATATTTTACTGGAAATGTAGCATTTGCCAACTCCGTAGCCAGTGGTCTTCCCTTCGTTTAAACTGAGAGTAAACGTTGTATTCAGACCTACAATAATAACCGGAAGTCCAAAAGAATATAAAAGATAATTCTGTAACGTCTTATGCTTGTTATGAAAGGCGTGATATCTACCTATTCCACTAAAAACCCGGAACATGTGAAATGAACAAACATTCATACACCCAAACATGGACAACCACAACACGTGCGAGATTATACCGATAACTTCACAAAAAACGGAATCTACCGGAGCCATTATTCCAAACTGGAACGATAATTGTGTAAAGAACAGGGCAAACACCAGACACATGTTATTGATGCCTGGTATGGACTGGAGGGTTGGATTTACAAGATAGACAATGAATGTGAGAAAGAGACATATCAGGGAAGCGATATTACAGATTAGAGTTAGGATGGCAAGGGCAGAGTCTATATCTTCAAACACTGGGTCCGAAATGGCTTCTACATCTTCCACACAAACACGGACTCTTCCGTGAGAAGATCTTTGGAATTTGTCAAACGGAAGAGTCTTTCCGATGCTGTGAATCGTTAGCTCCATTTTAATCATGTTGATGTCATACTCGTCACTTTCCAGTTCAATTTGTTGACATAAAAGAACTTTTGATACATAGACCGACCTAAATGTCTGCCATGGAACAAAACTATGATCTGAAAATCTTTGAATGTAACATGTTTCTTTGAATGAGGCTTTCTGGATAATCGAAGGTGTCATCACAGCTGTAAGACTTGTCTTGGCAGCAAGTTCTATAACTCTGTTGGTGTCAACGGTTACATTCCACAGGTCAGAAGTGCTTTCTAACAATGAACTCTCTGTTAAAAATCGTGGTACATATCCATCGATATGAACCGTCATATACAGAAATAGCTTGATGTTTTCTGTATTAACAAGGGCTGAACTCGATTCGCACGGAAAATTAGATAAAAGATGGAAACTATCGATCTTAAATTCTCTACCCCATAGATTTAACATGTAAAGGTTGACCAAGTTTTCGATCGACTCCAGAAAAAATATTGCTCTTATATCACCTTGGAGATGACCAGTGAATTCGATGGAAAGTGTGTACCGTAGATTGTTTGTGATGGTCAGTAATGGGATACAACTGCTGTCGTTCAGTACTTTTCCAGGGAAACAAGAAATGTTGCGACAGGAATCCTGGAAACGAGAAAAGACACAATTTATTGTCAAATCGATGTCTATTCATTTATTGATAACAAAGTAAACCTCAACACAGATATATGTCATTGTCTTTTTCCCTTTGTATTAAAACTCATTGAACAATTTCAGGTACAAAATTGCAGTTATTTGATTACTAACATATACTATATTTTTCTTAAAATGATATTTATTATTTCCAAGATTCAACAACCTACATTCCGATAGTCGTAAATCTGATCTTTTCGACATCTCCCAGAGTCCACTTCCGGCGGCATGTCATCATATTCAGCTACAGAAAATATTGACCGGAATGTAACATCGAAAGGTCCTGCCGGCACTGTAGGTGCCTTTTCTGACTGATCAGACACACCATCCGTTACGATTTCTGTGACATTTGGGAATTCAACAGAATTACAAACCTCACAAAATATATTCTTGTAGAGGGGATAGCTGTAAATACGCGGGAATAAATGACACGCTTTCTCGTGGTTAATATTATATTTCTGCCATAATCCAGTTTCATTACAGTTAGATATAATGTCAGTTACCACATGTTCCGGATTACAGAGGTAACAATAAAAGTTTTTGAATTGTTTATACGCAGGTAAAATATTATATGTGGCATTCTCACAGGCCCAAACAACATCCGGGTCATAGATTGGCCAATTTCCGGTAGCGTTGCATTTGTTGATCACATTTGGTCTGGTTATACAATTAACAGATATACTATCCGGATTGTGGAGTACAAACTTGACCGAGCAATTAATATATTTTGAAAGATTGATTGCGTCCATCAAAGAAACTACATGTCTGTAATCTAGAACAGCATTGCATTTTATTTGAAGATCAGATAGATAGTAATTATCTGTCGTTGCTATGGTTTCCATCATATCTGTGGGTCGTATTTCGTTGACGTTTTCGTTACAGAGGTAACAGTTAAAGTTCTTATAATAGGTATTGCCAAATCGTTGAATCAATGGAAGAAACGATACTATGTCTGTCTGTTGGTAGGATTCACATCGATTTCGAATGGTAGGATGTCCCCTGTTTTCCCAGCAACCATCAGTAACAAGTAATTTCTTTGTAGTTAGTATTTCAGATTCCGTCCCTGCTGCATAGATATCCATACAAGATACTGGGTATGTCAAAGCGAAGTCGAGACAACAATGTCTTCCAGCGCGATGAAACAGACAAGCTGGACTACACACACATGTCGGAACAAACATTAACACGTACTGTAAAGGAACGGCTGTCTTATCACAGAACTGATCATAGGGACGTACTGCGAATTGTTTATACAATAAGTTTGTCACGTTTAGAGAGATGTCTTTCTTTTTAATGATAGTGTTTTTTTCACTGGCTTCAAAAAATGACTTATCTTGTTTGTAAACTGGTAAATCATTATTATTTTGGACCATATCATGTTCTAGTTCTGTATATGTAAAACGCAAGTGCCGTGGTCGTACTTGGCCAGTTTGTATGGTGTACATATACATGTTATGATTACTATCGTTTGCAATAGTATTTGAAATGCTAGTAACGACATCATAGAACAGTTCGCTTTCATTGGCTATCCGGTTACATAGATAACAAAATATGTTTTTGAATGGACGTGTATTTTGTGAAGCTGAATGGTACAAACACGCGCGTTCCAAACCCGCGTCATAAGGATACCACATCCCGGTCGTATTGCATCGGCCGATGACGTCATCAGACATATGTGTAGGTGGATTACACATGTAACAAAACACATTTTTATATTCAAGGAATTTTAATTGATACGTCGACTCGCATGCTAATTTTATACTTTTATCAAATGTTTTCCAAGAACCGGAAACATTACAAGATCGCGTCATCAAGTGATCGTTTTGAATCGTTAGATTACAGGGTCGCACTGGGATTTTCATAGGGGAATATCTCATACGACATCCTCTATTTCGAGCTAGATCAATGATTTCCTGATATGTCGACAGAAAATTGAAATCAGCGAACAAAATGCAGTCTATATCAAGAATCCAGTTAAATGTTTCATTTTCACCATTGCACTTGGCGCAATATTTGTTCTTGAAACTGACCGGATACATTGCTGATGCAACTGGCGGACGAATAAGTTGTTCCTTTAATGAGTACGATTTTTCACATTGTGCTTTATCTCTACTTCCGGTTCCGCTGGGACACGAGTTCACGATTTCATATGACGGAGATTTAGGTTCAAAGTTTTTAGATGAATCTGTGACGAGGAGCGTAGTGTTAACACAGGCCATTGGAGGGAGTGCAAAGTATACATCCGGGCAACAGTCACCACGTGACATGCATTCATCATCACATTGACAACTGGGACATACTCCAGTGATGTTATAGGATTCATCCGGAATCGGGAAACGAAACATCGGGAAATTGGAAATATCACAGATATAGTCATATCCACACATTAACAGAAACTGATGAATCAGATCGTTGAGCTTGATTTCCCTTCCATCAGATACCATCGACTCATTCTCGCGTGATATTACAATAGCAACCAACATCACAATAAATACAACCCTTAATGGAATGAAGCGAATCATTGCTATCCGATGTTATCTGAAAGGATAAATAAAACTTTATCAATGTTAACATAATTTTAGACTATTGTTAGTGAGAAATAGTAGAAAATAGCAGAATACAGCTTGAATGTTTCTCACATTTTTTGCAAGTATGTCGAATAACCGCTACAATCTCCATCGAAGTATAAAAAATACTCTATCGAGAAAGCAAAAAATATCTATGTTTTGATTTTTTTTCGGGGATCATTTTTTGGCAACAATTTGTAGGAGCAGGGAATACTATGCTGAGATTCAAAACTTTGTTGATTGTTTTTTTGACTGATTTCCTAATTTGTTGGCTTCCTGTGAAAATGTTTGAACTGTCAATAAATAAAAGGACAAACATCAGCCATATTTTCAAATAGAACCTTTCAACACATATACAATTATTGAATGACTTAGTGAAATCGACTTAACCAGAGAAATTGAAAACATCATGTATAAAGTTGGTTGGTTGGCAAAGATGGGAAAGTTGAGAATATTTATGTTTCGTGGTAATTTTCTTATCTGAGACATATCAACAAATTGCAATGGATCGCTATTTCTGTTCAAGTGAATTGATATCGATGGATTGCTCAATATGTTAGTTGTCAAATGTTATCCTATACGAAAAGAATACCAAGTAAATCAGTGTAAAGCGGTTGTAGTTTGTGTCAGAATTGTAACATCAGAAAAAAAGTATAAAATATACATGAAATAACAACTAAGATGTATATTGGTATACCCAGATAAAATAAACAGTCACATGCACTCCTGGTGTTGTAGTTTGTATAGATAACAAAATCATGTGGATTGAAATTAACAACGACATAACAATACATCAACACTTACATGCATTTTCCTAAAATAACAACGGGACAATACAGTATGTTTGAATATAACAAAGGATTCGGACAAGCTGTACTTACCTCTCCTGTCTTTGGCTATGTGTATATCGACTGAACAACAGGATCAATATGTTTGATTTCACCACAGTTCCATTCCATTCATATTTCATAATTTCATTTCAGAAATGGCAATAATTTCATGTACGTCATGCATGAGAATACAGTGTAAATATAAAACTGTGAGATCTAGATGAAGGCCTGAGATTCATTAGTCCCTGTAGGGAAGCTACAAATTGAATCTATTTACATTGCGTGGATGTATTTAATCATATCATGGACGTCGGATTTAGAAAATCCTCTGTGTTACTTATCAAAGTCATCTTTTAAAGATACCATTCCAATGTTTGATGACTAAAATTTATTCAAGGACATCACATTAAAGAAGGATATTGTTAATTGTACAGTAGAGATAATATTATTGTGAAGAATGTAAATTGTACAGGAATACCATTTATTTTAAGATGAGAATCTTATTTATTGCGCCGAAGGAGTAGTATATACTTCACAGCTAAGGTATTGTTTTCAGTACAGCTGGGATATGATGCATTTTACAGAATAATCTTGTTTATAGTAAAGCTAGCTGGGATATTGTTTATCATACAGTTTGGGTATTGTTAACTGTACAGCTGTAGTATGGTTTATTACAAATCTGGGATTTGTTTATCATACAGTTGTAGTATTGTTAACTGTACAGCTGGAGTATGGTTTATTACACAGATGAGATATTGTTTATCATGCAGTTGTAGTATTATTAATTGTACAGCTGGAGTATGGTTTGTTACAAAGCTGGGATATTGTTAATCATGCAGTTGTAGTATTGTTAACTGTACAGCTGGAGTATGGTTTATTACAAAGCTGAGATATTGTTGTTCATGCAGTTGTAATATTGTTAACTGTACAGCTGGAGTATGGTTTATTACAAAGCTGAGATATTGTTGTTCATGCAGTTGTAATATTGTTAACTGTACAGCTGGAGTATGGTTTATTACAAAGCTGAGATATTGTTGTTCATGCAGTTGTAATATTGTTAACTGTACAGCTGGAGTATGGTTTATTACAAAGCTGAGATATTGTTTATCATGCAGTTGTAATATTGTTAACTGTACAGCTGGAGTATGGTTTATTACAAAGCTGAGATATTGTTTATAATGCAGTTGTATTATTGTTAATTGTACAGCTGAAGTATGGTTTATTACAAAGCTGAGATATTGTTTATCATACAGTTGTAGTATTATTAATTGTACAGCTGGAGTATGGTTTATTATACAAATGAGATATTGTTTATTATACAGTTTGGGTATGGTTTATTGTACATTGGGATATTTCTTTATTGGAAATAAATGTTGTTTAATTTACTGCAGGAATCTTACTTATAGTACAACTGGGATATTGTCTATTATACAGCTTTGGCATTGTTAATTACACAACAGATATATTGTTTATTGTTCAGCGTGCACTTTATATTCTTTCAATTGGAAAACTCTTGCTTATTGCACACCAAGTATATCGCTTATTGATAAGCTGTGATATGTTGTTTATTATAAAGCTAGAAACTTGTTTGTTGCTGTTTATTACACCGCAGAGATATTGCTTTTTGTACAACAGAAAACCATGGATAGGATCATCGTACAACAGGAATTTTGTTTATTGTACAATAAGGATATTCTTTACCATACAGTAGAAGTAATGTTTCCTGAAAAGAAGAATATGGTTCATCATATATCAGACATTGTTTATTGTACAGCTTATTGTACAGCTAGGACACACTGTTTATTGTACAGGTAGGATATTGTTTATTGTACAGCTTATTGTACAGCTAGGACACACTGTTTATTATACAGGTAGGATATTGTTTATTGTACAGCTAGGACACTATTTATTGTACAGGTAGGACATTATTTATTGTACAGCTAGGACACACTGTTTATTGTACAGGTAGGATATTGTTTATTGTACAGCTAGGACACTGTTTATTGTACAGGTAGGCCATTGTTTATTGTACAGCTAGGACATTGTTTATTGTATAGCTAGGACATTGTTTATTGTACAGGTAGGACACACTGTTTATTGTACAGGTAAGACATTGTTTATTGTACAGCTAGGCCATTGTTTATTGTACAGCTAGGCCATTGCTTATTGTACAGGTAGGATATTGTTTATTGTACAGCTAGGACACTCTTTATTGTACAGCTAGAACACACTTTTTATTGTAGAGGTAGGACATTGTTTATTGTACAGGTAGGACATTGTTTATTGTACAGCTAGGACACACTGTTTATTGTATAGCTAGGACACTGTTTATTGTACAGCTAGGACACTGTTTATTGTAGAGCTAGGACATTGTTCATTGTAGAACTAGGACATCGTTTACTGTACAGCTAGGACAGTGTTTATTGTACAGCTAGGACACTGTTTATTGTACAGGTAGGACATTGTATATTGTACAGCTAGGACACTGTTTATTGTAGAGCTATGACATTGTTTATTGTACAGCTAGGACACACTGTTTATTGTACAGATAGGATATTGTTTATTGTACAGCTAGGACACTATTTATTGTACAGGTAGGCCATTGTTTATTGTCAGCTAGGACATTGTTTATTGTATAGTTAGGACACTGTTTATTATACAGGTAGGATATTGTTTATTGTACAGCTAGGACATTGTTTATTGTACAGCTAGGACACTGTTTATTGTACAGCTAGGACACTGTTTATTGTACAGCTAGGACACTGTTTATTGTACAGCTAGGACACACTGTTTATTGTACAGATAGGATATTGTTTATTGTACAGCTAGGACACTATTTATTGTACAGGTAGGCCATTGTTTATTGTCAGCTAGGACATTGTTTATTGTATAGTTAGGACACTGTTTATTATACAGGTAGGATATTGTTTATTGTACAGCTAGGACACTGTTTATTGTACAGGTAGGATATTGTTTATTGTACAGATAGGATATTGTTTATTGTACAGCTAGGACATTGTTTATTGTATAGTTAGGACACTGTTTATTGTACAGCTAGGATATTGTTTATTGTACAGCTAGGACATTGTTTATTGTACAAGTAGGATATTGTTTATTGTAGAGCTATGACATTGTTTATTGTACAGCTAGGACACTGTTTATTGTACAGGTAGGACATTGTTTATTGTACAGCTAGGACATTGTTTATTGTACAGCTAGGACATTGTTTATTGTACAGGTAGGACACTGTTTATTGTACAGCTAGGACACACTGTTTATTGTACAGATAGGATATTGTTTATTGTACAGCTAGGACATTGTTTATTGTACAGGTAGGATATTGTTTATTGTACAGCTATGACATTGTTTATTGTACAGCTAGGACACTGTTTATTGTACAGGTAGGACATTGTTTATTGTACAGCTAGGACATTGTTTATTGTACAGCTAGGACACTGTTTATTGTACAGCTAGGACATTGTTTATTGTTCAGCTAGGACATTGTTTATTGTACAGCTAGGACACTGTTTATTGTACAGCACTACACACTTTTATTGTTTATTGTTTATTGTACAGCAGGACACTATTGGAGGACACTGTTTATTGTACATTGTTTATTGTACAGCTAGGAGGACATTGTTTATTGTACAGGTAGGACACACTGGACATTGTTTATTGTACAGCTAGGACATTGTTTATTGTATTGGACATTGTTTATTGTCCAGCTGTTTAGCAGCTAGGACACAGCTAGGACATGTTTATTGTAGGACATTGTTTATTATTGTTTATTGTACAGCTAGGACACTGTTTATTGTACAGCTAGGACATTGTTTATTGTAGAGCGAGGACATTGTTCATTGTAGAACTAGGACATGGTTTACTGTACAGCTTGGACAGTGTTTATTGTACAGCTAGGACACTGTTTATTGTACAGGTAGGGACACACTGTTTATTGTATAGGTAGGACACTGTTTATTGTACAGCTAGGACACACTGTTTATTGTACAGCTAGGACACTGTTTATTGTACAGATAGGACATTGTTTATTGTACAGCTAGGACATTGTTTATTGTACAGCTAGGACAT